GGGAGGCAGTCATGGCGTGGTGTTGGGGCGATGGACGGGGCTGGGGTGTTCTCATCGGATGAGTGAGCGTGCCCTTTGTGCATAGGCATATGTGGATAGATTCATGGAGGCGATTTGGACAAGCGAGTGCATGGATGCCATCTGTCAATTATCTCTTGTTGATTTGGGGACGTGTTGTTATGGGTCGGGCTTGGGTTGCATGGTGGTTTGGTAGGGCATGTGATAGTCGCTTGTGTGATTGCGTTTGATGGGCTGTTCGGTTTATATCAGAGTGCTGCTATCATCCATGCCGTATGGTGCGGATGTGTTTCTGCGATCGCTTGTGTCTTTGCGTGTGCAAATCCATACCGACTCTAGATCAGACGTGCTGGTCGCCCATGCTTCCGTGTAAACGATTCCTCAAAACTCCAGATCCCGCAGATCCATGGCAGAGATCTTGCCTAGCGTTCTCGGCCTCCTCACCCTCCTCGCTCATGTGACAGCGACGCATGCCTTCCTCACCCCTCCATCTGTGCAGCGGCGCCCACCGACCCCACTCCTCTCTCTCTCGGCGCATCGCAAGCCGCATCGGTATCCTTCAGCCTTGACGGCATTGTGGATGGCCGAGAAAGACTCATCGCCAGGCGACGGCAACGCAGCGCTTGAAGGCGGGCTGGGCGCGGTTTCCCTACGGCAACGCAGCGCTTGAAGGCGGGCTGGGCGCGGTTTCCCTCGCGGCGTGCGCCATGGTTGGGTGTTCGCTCTTGACGCTGACACAGACGGGCTGTGGGGTTCCCCCCGGCCCGGCCGGGATCTATGGAGCGGCGGAGGGGCTTTCCTTCCTGCAAGTGGTGGGCTTGAGCGGCTACTCGGCCTTCACCAAGGTCAAGACCGGCCAAGGGCTCAACAGTGGACCTGCGGGGCTGCTCGGGGCTGCGGAGGGGCTGAGCTATGTGGCCGTGGTGGCCCTTGTGACGGTGTTTGCACTGCAGGTGAGATCGAGGGGCAGAGTGATGGCATGCGCGGTGGGGGTTATTGATGTGTTGTGGGTGGCTGGCTGGATGGGCGGGTGTGCGGTGCTGTTGTGTGTCTGCAGGCGGTGGGCGTGGTACCCAATGGCGGTGCTGCATGCTATGAGGTGTGACTTGACGCTAGGACCATGATTCAGACAGCCAGAGGACCATTGAGAGATGAGTTTGGTGGTGTCTGTAGTGAGTCGAATGACATATAAATGCCGACCAGACGGCTCATGTGAGTGATGCACACTTGCGGCATGTCAGTCACATGGACATATCACGGGGATGACTCGACTGTCGTGCATGGATTGATTTTGCACATACATAAAGGCAGGCAGGCAGGCAGGCTTCATCACGATGCCTTGGCCTTGTACTGCTCCCGACCAGTTCGAATGCGCTCTCGCTGACACACACAAACACATACATAGAATCAATCAGGCAGACGGGATGGATCAGTGGCATCGCATCCCTGGGTGGGTGGGTAGATGTGGATGTCCATGCATGTGTGTGTCCGAGAACCAACCCACCTGCGGCACAAACTCGTGGAATTCCGCCAATTTCTGCCGCCTCACGGCCACAGCAGCCTTGAAGGCCTGCAGACAGACAGACAGACAGACAGACAGACAGACAGGAATGAAACACACACCACACTGGCCATGATTGATAACACGTAGACATCAATAAGCAATGTGATCTGTGTCTGTGTAGCCACCTGATCGAAGCCCATCTCAAGTGCAGGGAAGCATCGAAAGCGACGCAATCCTGCACAAACCAGGCACACAGACGAAGGATCAGTGACCTTGCCATCTGCAGCGACCTGCCCCTCTCCCTCCTCCCGCGGCACCGTTTTGTTTCCACACAGCGATCCAGAGCTTCTCTTCGCCGTCGTAGAAGACACCCCGCACGCCGCTCTTGCAGATGTCGGGGGCAGGCAGCCTACACACACAGGGAGGGAAGTGGAGGCCCTCCCTCCCTCCCTCCCTCCCTCCGTGTGTGTAATTCTCACTTCTGCAGCCTTCCCGCCTTCTCCAGCTGCCGCATCAGAATCATCGCCTTGGCCCGGGCCTGACAACATCATTCAGGCGGACACGCACACGCAGACCACAAACCAATGACCACCCATCCATCCCCATTCATTGATTCGGTGTGTGTGGTGCCGTGCCCGTGTCCATCCATCTGCTCATTTAACGCATCGATCGCACGCACCCTTTCGAATCTGTCTCGTGTGGCGTTGAAGGGCCTGAAGACCTGGAAGCCCCCCTTGTACCACATGACGAGCCACCTTTTGAACTGGCTGTCCCATATCAGGTTGGGCCGCACGTTCTGCACCAGCGGATACCGCGTCCGCCGCTCCCTCTTGCGCCAGAAGAACTCCATCCGGTGCCCCAAACCCGTCTGAATCACCCGGGGGTCATGGGGCTTCTTCTTGCGCTTCAGAGGGCCGCCACTCCGACCGCCATAACGCGACTGAGTGGCCTGCCATGGCTGAGGCTGCACTATGTTTATGTGGATGCCGCTGTCGGTGCGCAAGAAGGTGGGAACGGTCATAGGACGGGTGAGGCCGCCAGTGGCGATGGAGCAGAGGCCTCTGGTGGTGTGCAGTGGCAGTGGGAGGGAGCAGGGGGAGGAGGGGACGGGGGGGCAGATAGATGGAAGGAGGGAGGGAGGCAGCGGGGGTCTGATTGGCCGACGCAGCTGCCATGTGAGAGCTGCTGTGGCATTCATCTGCTCATGCGACCGCAGCGGTCAACTTCCGCGAGAGCTCAGATCAGATCAGCTGGATGAGATGAGTCAACAGATGTTGTCCTCTCTCCGCGCTGAGATCATTGGTGGCGAGCTAGAGTCAATATGAGCTCGCAGAGTGTTTTTTGATCGTCCTTGGAGCTTTCGCGACCCCAGCAGGTGCCCTCTGTCAGCTGCTTTCATTGTGTGAGTCGCTCGATGATGGACGGTGTTGGCGGAGAGTGGCCTACCGCCATTGCCGACGTCGATGAACCCATGCCTTGCAGCATGGACATCGACAGCAGCAGCCACGGCAGCAACAGCAGCAGTCCCCCACCAGCCCTTTCGACAGACCACCGGGCCGCCCTGCACATCCACACCCGTCCTTTCGACTGCATCCCAACCAGGTCTGTCGGGTCGTGTGTGCCTTGCCATCACGAGGCGCAGGGTCTGCCCGACATCACTTTGGAGGTGGGCCACCTGCACCCCACCGGATGGCGCATCGGCGGACGGGAGCAGATGGGCGGGCTGCGGCCCTCACGGGTCTATGTGGGGAGCTGGCGCTATGGCCGGCCGCACGGCCTGTCGGGCGACCTGTGGGATTTTGACCAAATGACCTTCTACCGGGGCGCCTTCCGCAATGGCATGCGAGAAGGGTACGTGGCTGGCTGGCTGGCTGGCTGGCTGAGAGGGAGGGAGGGAGGGAGCACGACACACAGACGTTTACAAGAAGTTGTGTTGATTGATTTGATTGTGTTTCAGCGAGGGCGTATTGCTCAACAAGGATGGGGAGGAGATATATAGAGGCTGCTTCGAGACCGATCTGCCCAACGGGTGAGGGAGCGACCGGCATCAGCCAGCCCAGCCCGCCAGCCAGGCGCGTGAACGATGGGCTGGCTGTCGTTTGTCGGTATCTCTCTCTCTCTTTTTCTCTCTCTCTCTCCCTCTCCTTCTCTGTGTCTGTGTGTGTGTGTGTGTGTGTGTGTGTGTGTTGCTGTGTTGTTGTGTTGCAGTCATGGTTTGGGTGTGATGAAGTGCGGCTACCAGTGGACGGGGCCGTGGAAGGATGGACAGCCACACATGTATGTCAGCCAACACTGACAGATGCGATACGGGGATATATGTGTCTGTCCATCTCTTATTGTGTGTGTGTGTGCATTCTACTGCCTGCCTGGCGCAGGAGTGAGAGGGGCGAGCTCAAGTGTCGGACGACGGGCTTCGTGCAGATCGGCACCTTCAAGGACAACCAGCCACACGGGTAAGTAAGGGATGCAAACGACATTCGGGCCACACACGCAGACTCAATGGATGGATGGCTGGATGGCGTCCTGTGGCTTGCAGGGACGACATAGAGCAGTGCCACACGGACGGCACCACTCTCACAGGCTCCTTCAGAGACGGCAAGAAACACGGGTTAGTAAGGCCGTACACTACACACTTCCCGCAATGTGATCGATCAGCCTCCTCACTCACTCGTCAACAATAGTGAATCAATCACTTCTGTCTGTGATATATCTGGATGCAGGCAAGCCACGTTCACGTGGCCCGAGGGCAGGCTCCAGTTGCAGCTGCGATTCGACACCGACGTGCTCAAGGAGGTCGTCCTGGAGCGTCTGGCGCCCGACTCGCTGCCGCAGGAGGTGTACCGTGTGCAGGGCGACCTGCAGTTCCTCGGCAAGGACGGTCTCTTCAGCGGCAGCGGGGCGCAGGTCTTTCCCAATGGCGACCACTTCTACACCTCATTCACAAAGGGCATCAAGCAGGGGTCAGTCAGTCCAGTCAGCTGAACAATCATTGGAAAGTTAGTGAATGATGCAGTGATTTGACTGACCCATGCATGTGTCTTGTGGATGGATGCATGCAGTCGTGGCACGATGATGCGCTACTTCTGCGGTGCGGGGGAGTCATGGTGGTGCTGCACCTACGAGGGCACCTTCGAGAACGACCTGTTTGTGCGCGGCGAGGGCACCGAGATGCAAAAGAGAGACGCCGGCGCCACGCTGAGGAGAGTCTATGAGGGGTCCGTGGTGCGCTCTGGCGACGGGCAGATGCTCAGACACGGGTGAGCAGAGCAGAGCAGGCAACGCACTGACTGGGAGGCTGATCGTTCACTGAACTGACCTGGTGTTTGTCGCGTCGGCCCGTGTGTATGTGCAGACGTGGCAAGCTGCTGATAGAGAATGGGTCAGAGGGCCACATTGTAGGGGAGTGGGAGGGCGGCAACCTACTCAGCGGTGCCGACTACGACAAGAACGGACAAATGGTCGGCCAGACACATGGATGGCATGATAGGATACACACAAACCAAACTGAGGGATAGCTGATCCGATCCACGTGTGGTGGTGTCGCGTCGCATCGCATCGGTCAGGTGTATCACGGCAGCTTCCGCAAGGTCGGCGATGACATCTACTGGGACGGCCAGGGCACCACCTTCTACCCAGACGGATCACAGTACTATGGCTCACACAAAAAGTCGCAAAGACACGGGTCGGGTCGGCACACACCTCACTTCACCTCACGCACACAGACAGACGCACACAGACAGACAGACAGACAGACAATGGGCGATGTGTGCATCTCTCTCTTTTTCGTTTCGACAAACAGGCATGGCGTGTTGACGGACTCGAAGCAGCGCATCCAGGGACTGTGGGTGGACAACAGCATCCACTCCGGGAGCAGATACTCCCGGCTGGCCATGGGTGGCGGCTTCAGCTCGTCCCCCGACTATGAGGGGGAGTTCAACCACCAGACCTTCGCAAGGGAGGGCGTGGGCAGGGAGCTGCGGGATGACGGAACCATACTCGCTGCCATATTCAGAGACGACAGGAAGAAGGGGTCAGCAACAGACAGATGGAGAGATGAAAGGGAGAAGGGCAATAGACACACACACGAGTGACATGTTATGTTGTGGTGTCATATATGGGTGTAGGGTTGGATTCATTGCAACGAGGGGGTGCGAGACGCCCCAGCAAGTGCAGTGGAGCGACCAGAAGGTGCGCGACGTGACCTGACCCACACTGTGGAAACAGAGGAGAGGCCCGCAGTGCAGTGCAATTTGTATGTCTGTGTGTGTGTGTGTGTGTGGTCATATAATACAGCCGCGTGTGCTGCCCCCCTGTTCGGATGCGTGCATGTCTTGCTACGAGGAGTTCCACGGCGAATCAAACCACTTCGTCTTCCCATGTGGTCAGTCAGTCAGTGGCCATGCATGCCATGGCGCACACGGCACCTCGCCCACACCGCACACCACACGAGGTGCGTCCGTCGTGTCCCCTGTATGTATGTCTGTGTGTGCAGGGCACGCCCCCTTGTGTGCGACGTGTTTGCCCAAGTGGGAGTCGGCCCAGCGGCGCCGGTCGCCCACCGGCAGGTACGACCCATGCCCCTACTGCCAAGACCCCTACCCTCGGGCATTCCTACGGACGTCATTCTTCGAAAAGGTCCGTCAGTCAGGCCACCCCCCCTCCCCTCCGTCACTTCCTGTGTGTCTCACCCAGGCAGGCGTCTGTCTGTCTCTCGTGTGCGTGTGCGTGTGCGTGTGTGTGTGTGTGTGCAGCTCCAGAAGTTTGCTCTTGGTCTGGATTTGTCGCTGTGTCTGCCGCCGCCCTCTTGGGACATAGACGACGACGACGACGACCTTCCCCCGCCGCGAGCACACGTGGGCGGTGGACCACAAAGGGGCAACAACGGCAACGGAGCCAATGACGGCGACGGCAACAATGGGCCAGCCGACGACTTCTTTGTCGATGCTGTGGAGGACTTCGATGCTGCACCGGTATGACCTGTACAATGCCGCCCAGGGGTCAGGGGGGATGGATGGATGGATGGATGGGTGGGCGTATTCGTACATTCATCCATGCATACCTCCTCCCTTCCTTCCTCCCTTGCGATCCTCCGTCCTCCCCGACTTTCTGTCTGCCTATCTGTGGGTGCGGTGCGGATGGGCGGAATAAAGACACAGACACCAAGGCACACTGAGTGGGTTGGGGGTGGGGGCGGGCCTGGTGGGTGAGGGGGCAATTTTGCCCCGTCTGTCTGTCTGTCTGTCTGCCTGTCTGCCTGTGGATGCCTGAATGTCTGTCTGTCTGCATGAATTGCATTGCACGTGTCCGTCCGTCCGTCACTGCATCCATCCCATCCATCCCTCCATCCATCAGCCAGCCAGTCGGTGCCCTGCATGTCATGTCAATGAATGTGTGCGTGTGTTGTTTGTGTTGAGCAAAAAAGGTTGTACTCTGTGAGGAAGGATGGGCAGGCCAGGCAGCATAGCATCACATCACATGTGCACACATGTGTGTCATGGATGGATGACATGACTGCCAGAATGGACATCCTGGAAGCCTCTCAAGGTGCCTTTGTACCGTAGTTATGTGCAGTGAGTGCATGTGTGGATTGACTGGATGTGTGTGTGTGTGGTGGGGTGGGGTGTGCATAGCAAAGGATAGCAGTGTGAGAGTCCAGCAGTGGTCTGTCCGGTCAGGCAGCTGCTATGCTACCTGGGCGGGCAGCGCTTCTGTGACGGCTGGCTGGCTGACTTTTGTTTTGCTCCAACACACGATTTCCGATTGACTCTTCGATCCCCTCCCTCCCTACCTACCCGTTTAATCAATCCAATGTTGTTTGTCCACCTACAGCTACAGAGGAGTCTCTCAGATCAGACGATCCCGACAGACAGACAGACCCACATGAATGACATTTGAACAAATCAATGCATCTATCACACAGACTCACACCCTTATGCATCCGGGAATGACACAAGACAAGACACACCAAACGAAACGAACCTACCTACCTATGTGCTCTCACTCACAGATGATAAGGAGAAGGAAACAACGACCGAACCGACCTATCCAAGACAACAAGCCGACCACCACACTACTTTATTTACTTGACCAAACTAAAACCCCTCACCCCCCCCCGTCACTCACCCCGTCCCATCTATTTGGATGCGACCGTCTCATCACTAGCCTCTGTGGCCACGGTGGACACGGCACTCTCAAACGACCCGCCCCACTCACCACTCGACCCCCAAGACAGCACACCATCGCTCACGTCACCACTCAAACGCACCGTGTTAGGGGGACACGCAGGCACACCACTGCCCCTGCCACTGCCCCTCTCGCCCTCACATTCACTGATCAGAGACAGAGACAGCGAGGAGTTTGTGCTGCTGGTGAGGGAGAAGGTGAGGGAGCGAGCCACCGAAGACACCATCCTCGACGATGCCAAAGAGCTGGTGGTCATGTCGAGAATGGAATCTTCGCTTAGGGTGGATGGCGACACACACAGGGAGAGAGATGGGGTGGGGGCGAGGGTGGGGGCGGCGGGCGTGTGTATGCGTGCTCCATTGAGGCAGTCGTATAGGCAGGTGAGGGTGTTGCTGAGCCGCAGAGAGGGGGAGGAGGGGCCACAGGACGGCCCTAGTGGTGCTTGCTGGATATCGTCCTGGTCATCGTCGAGTGTGGGTCGTGAGGCCAGGTGCTTGGCGAAGCACTTGTCCTGCAGCTCGGGGGGGATGACCATGGGCACGCTGCCGTGCTGGTGAGGTGCATCCTGGTGCTCAATAGGTGACACCTGAGCCAGCAACGGGCGGGACAGGCCTACGGAGACACACACACACACACACACACACAGAGGAGGCGATTGGTGTGTGTGTGGGGGGTGGGGGGGGTGGGGGGCTTGGCTACGGTTCGGTCGCTCACCGTATCTGTGCATGAGTGTTTGCAGCTGGGTCTCTGCCTCCTTTGCCATGGGGGCGAGGACGTCTCCGAAGGCCTCTTGCAGCGACACACCACCTGAAGAAGCAGGGAAGGAATGAGGCCAACACACAACGCACACACACACACACGCACCACATCGAAGAACGAACGAAACAATCAGTGACCACCGGACCGCTCTGCTCTGGTCTGGTTGCCCTCCCTGTCTCCCTGACTCCCTCGCTCTCTCACTCACTCACTCACTAGCACAGGCACATCCCTTGTCGATGACCATCTGAATGGCGGCGAGCCACAGGGAGGCCTCCTCGGCTGTCACACACGCAAACTGGTGCCCATCCACAGCAAACCGACGGCCCAACCCAAGACACAAACCGCTACCCGCTGAAGCAATTCACCCATCCACCACACCACACCACACCAGGCCAGTGGGCAGGTGAGGTGAGGTGGTCTGTCTTCCATCCGTACCGTACCATCGGTGTGACTCTTGCCATTGCCCTCGCCCTGCTGTCGCGCGACGGTGGATTTCCGTGTGAGTGGCACCTTCTTGACGAGCCGTTCCTTGCCCGGCCCCTCGTACAGACACAGGCTCAGCCGCATGGGCACTGAGGATCGGCTGCGGCCGCCTTGCACCTCAGCCCACCACACCTCACACCCGCCCTCCCTGACACACACAAACACACACGCTCACACACAGGCAGGCAGACAGAGCGAAGGACGGTGGGCTGGGGCGGACGGTGCGTTGTATTTGCGTTGTGTACCATCGCTTTAGGTGCGCCAGTGGGTGTGCAGGCCGGTGGAACAGGTAGCCACTCAACACAACCTGCACACACACAACACGACGCCGGGAGCCAATTCCTCTTTTTGCCTTCCATGTCCACCTGACTCACCTGGTCACTGTCGACATGAGGCACCACCCAAGCCATCCCACCGTCACCGTCACCCTCCCCCTTGGGCAAAAGCGACCAGGCCACCTCGCCGACCTTCCCCGCCAGCCGCTCCAGCAGGCACATCCCGCCGTCCCCTCCATCCTCCGCAGTCACCTCCACCCACCCCACCTCCCTGTCGCCCTTGCTGCAGTGCAGATCCGACACAATCACGGATGCGGCGCCTGTGGTGGGGTCAAGCTGTGCGTCGGTGAAGGGCGTGACACACAGGGGGAGGCCGGCCGTGAGCGGATTTGCCGACGCATAGGCTAGCGGCCGCAGCACGATGCCTTTTGAGTGGTCATCGACGTGCACAGGGGTGCGGCTGAAGGCAGGGCCGGACGCAGAGATACACAGGGCCATGATGATGGTTCAGACAGAGGGCCAGTACTGGCGGAGTGATCTGAGCAGTGGCGGCGGGCGACGTCCTCCTTAAAGCGCTCGTCCAGGGAACGTCATCAGCGCGAGCTTGACTGGCCCCAGAATCTCGACCTTTAAGCTCGCATGTCAGATCTTTTTCTCAACGTTAGCGGCGCATCTCGTCGGACCGAGCGTCCTGTCCGACGTCTCAGGTGTGTTTAAAGGCGTTTGTCTTGCGAGAGTGCACAGATCCGTCCTTTCAAGGCTTCTTCCCCGTGTGACGGATCTGTGGACCACCCGACACGGCTTTTGTGGTGACAGGGGGCGCATTCAGACCGCGTGCGACCCATCTGACCGGGGCGACAGGAAGGAAACGGGCTGATATCTCACCCACAGCGGCACGATCTGACTCCCGTGCTGGCGTCTTGCTGGACGGTTGGTTCATTGGGCTGATCTGCGGTTGGGATCGCTCTGTAGGAGGTGAGGGGGAGTGCTCAAGGACGGGCTGTCTCATGGCGTGTTGGTTGGCATCTTTCGCTGGCTGATGGGTCCCCTTCTCGACTTTGACTGACTGCTTCACAGGTGTTTGTTGTCTGAGCGGGTGGAGACTCTCGATTTCTGCAAGGCATCCATCGATTCGATTATGTCGGGCTCTTCAGCGCAGGCCGACTCGAAGCCGGCTGCATCGCGAGGTGAGCCGTCCACCCACACACGCGCACACACACGCACAAGCCACACACCCAGCCACATCACATCCTATCGTGAGAGCATGGACGCTCATCGATGCCTTGCTCGTGTTGTGTTGTGTCTGTGTGCCTGGCCTCGCCCACTCCCCTCGTTCGCTCAGATCCGCGTCTAGCCCAGGCAGCCCTGCTGGCCCAGCAGATCCAGAGGCAAGACAGGCGCCAGAAGAGGAACAACAAAGAGAACAAGCCATCATCGGCATCGGCAGCGGCGTCAGCGGCAGCGTCAGCGGCGGCGCCCAAGAAGAGGGGACCAGGGAGGCCGCGGAAGCACCCTTTGCCGGCACCCAAGGCCGCGCCACAGGCCCCCCCACCCCGACCAGCCACCCCACCTCCGCCGCCCCCTCGTGACGACACGGGCTCGCCTGAGCTCGAAATCGCCCTTTCGACCGAAGGAAATGGTCTCAACGGACAGAGGTTAGTGTGTGGTGTGTGCAGAGCATACGAGGGGGAAGAGTGTGCATTTGATGTGCGTCAGTCAGTCAATGAAGCTAGATGGAGTGTGTGTGTGTGTGTGGCCTGACTGACAGGGATGTGCCCCAGGACGGTGGCAGTGATTGCCCAGGGCGAGCCGGAGCTGCGTCTGAGGGCGCTGCTGCAGAGGAACCTATCGACCCACGCATCCTTGTGCCGGGTATGTATATATGCCAGGCTGCCCTTACCATACCATGGATGCACTCTCACACCACACTGGCACATCTGGCACATGTGTATGGATGGATGGATGGATGGATGGACGGACGGCATGCGTGTGGGTGATGTGATGTGTGTAGGTGCCAAGATCCAGGTCAAGTGGCCAGGAATAGAGACGATAGAGAGCGGTTGGGTGCTGGGGACCGTCGAGGAGGGCGGCCAGCGGTTCGTCACATGCAGACTCGCCGGATGGTCACGAACCACTGAGTTCAAGGTCAGTCAGTAAGCGAGATTTGGTACCGTACAGCCAGAGATCGACATATTTAACTGCATCCACACATCTATCTGGTCCATGTGTGTGTGTGTGTGTGTGCAGGCTCCAGCTCACTGCGTTCGTCTCGGCAAGGGCTGGTCAGCCGACCTCACTGCAAGCGAACGACCTGTGTAAAAGACGCAAAGAGCAGCACACAGCACACAGCACACAGGCAGGCAGACAGACACGGAGCCGTTCTGCACCACTTCTGTGCTGTCCTGTGCTGCCTACCTTTCCTGCAGTCGTTCCAAGCGCACTGCTCCTGCCGGCCCCGGCACACAAGAGTCGCTCACGGCCGGCGCGGCAGACCCCTCTGCATCGTCCTCCAAGGCCAACACGCCCCTGCTCCCCGCCACCCCCACAGCCCGACCAGGTCGGCGGTCATCGTTGGGCACCAGCCAGGTGCAGCCGGCCGCCAAGCGCAAGATGCGGGGTGGCGTGACGCCCCCACCCAGCAACACGGAGGAGGAGTGGGCGTCGCAGAACATGGAAGTGACACCCGAGGGCCGGGCGGGGAGAGAGGGGGATTTCTCGATCCCGCCCCTGCCCACGTTTGGGATGGAGGGTGGTGGGGGTGGTGTGTTGGGCGTCAAGAGGGGTCAGGAGGGCGGGGTGCGGCGTCGGCTGCCGCGGGAGATCCGGGAGATGATGAGACAGATCAAGTTCCTCCTCCCTGGGGCGCCCATCGAGGTACGGTCCACACACACCCATCGACTCGACTCACTCGACTCGACACACACACGGTCATTTGAATATCTGTCGGTGCGGTGCAGGTGAAGGGTCGTGTCATGGATCACCGCGGTGAGTACATCGCCCTGGTCATCGATGACGGCTGGCCGTGGGTGCAGTACCGACACACCGGCGATGACCAGGCGGGGCTCGGCCAGGCCCCCATAGAGGACGTCCGCATCGGGGACCTACGAGAGGCAGAGCTCAAGCGCACTCGGGACCGGGGCGGCAAGGGCACCCTCTCCCCCCTACCGCACACACCGGGCATCCCTGATGGTTTGCCCTCTGCTGCCCTGGCCAAGAGCCAGCAGGTGCCCCGGAAGTCTCGGCATGTTCGCGGCAAGGACGGCCGCTTCGTTCGCAAAAATGATGGTGGGGGTGACGAGGGCGTGGCGGGAGAGACCGCCCTCCACAACAGCTACCGGATACATACCCCGCCAGCAGGCAGGAAGCAGCAAATCAAGGGCGCAGGTGCGTCGAAGCGCCCCTCGCCCGCCCCCTCCAGCCAGCAGTTTAACCAGCAGCAGCAGCAGCAGCAGCAAGGCATGGTCACCCGACGGAAGCGCAGAGTCAAGCGCCGCTTCCCCTGGCGCATCCACGCCGCCCCCGCGGCCGTCAAGGAAGATCTGTCGATCCTCCGCCGCATGTGTCCCCCGCCGCCCCGACGCACACACCTACAGCCGCCACACGAGGCCGATCAAGAAGAGTCAGAGGAAGGCTCCGACCAGGCGAGAAGGCCCCGGCCCCCCCTCGTGAGGGTTCGTCGGGGCGAGTCGTCATCCCCCGACATGAAGGGAGACAGCATCGGGCGGTTCATCCGCAACGTTCGGGAGGCGCATGCAGTGCGGTTCCGCCAGCGGTCGTTCAACAGCGACTACGAGTTGGCCGTGGCCATGGAGGACCGCAGGATGCAGGACATGCAGGGGGACCTTCGAGACGCCAAGATGGTCTCCAAGTCAGAAGGGGATGCCACGGAGGAGCAAGACGAGGGCGGCATGGAGGGTGTTGACAAGGGTGACCACCCTCAGCGAGAGCCGCCATCTCGTGCGTCAGAGGAGGAGCTGCAGGCGATCGCGGCCTTGGCGACGGTGAGGAAGGCCGCTCGTGTGGAGCGTGCTTGGCGGCTGGGGCTCGACCCCAACGAGCAGTCGAGCCCCTCCAAATCAGACCGCATGAAGACCGTCCTCGACGCGCACTACGAACTCTCTGGCGTCAAGAGACACCCGCTGGCGCCATCGCGACCCTCGCCCTCGCCAGGAGCCGATGACGACGAGTCGCCCATGTATCAGGACATCACGACGTTCGACCAGCTGTACGCCATGGAAGACCTGTCGAGCGACGAGGGGGCCAAGCGGCGCAGGCGCAAGAAGAGGGCCCGGGCGAGGGGTGACCACGAGGACGACGGCGACTTCGTGTTGGAGGACATCGACCCGGACGATCTGCGGCGTGCGGGTCGGAAGAAGCGGCGTGAGGACAACAGCAAGTTTCTGTCTCAGTTGGGGGACGAGGAGATGATCGAGCGGTTTGTCGAGGAGGCCACCAAGATACTGCGCAAGGCGCACAAGAAGCAGCACGGCAAGAAGGCCAGGGTCAGGGGCGAGGACGGCACCTTCCGCAGGGCAGACAACGGCGGCAAGAAGGAAAAGAGACGCACCAAGAAGCAAGAGCCGCCCCTCACGTGGCTGGAGAACAGGTTCGACGCCTGCTTCCAGCCGGCCGTCACGGCTTTCCTCAGGTAACAGAGGGCCCCGGTGGGGGTGGCTTGTCGACAGACAGAGACACATACATACACAGAGCGGGCGAGTCGGTCGATTCATGGTGCTGTGCTGTCTCTGTTCCCTTCAGGCGTGAGTTGGCGCAGTACCTTGTGCGAGTGTTTGAGACGTAAGCGAAGAAGGCAACTAACTACACCTGCGCAGCCACCGACGAGACCATGTGTGTGTGTATGTGTGTGTGCAGTCGGAAGGAGCCTCAGTACTCGATAATGGTAGCCTTCCTGTCTGAGCTGCCGATCGAGCTGATGACGCCCAAGAACATTGCCCAGGCGTGGCTGGACCTGCACCTGGACTACCTGACCTACACGGACAAGTGCCACTCCCTCCTCACCAAGAAACACCCACACCTGCTCTTCTTCCCTCTCGAGTACAGCTACGGACCCCTCTCGCCCCTCGTCCCCGTACCACCAATGCCCCCACACCCCTTCGCCTCACAGCAGAGACATCCACACCCACACCAACACCCACACCAACAGACCGCCCAGCCACTCATCAAGCCACGGGAGATCAAGGAGAGAGAGGAGCAGCAGGGGCGCGATGCTGCTCCTGTCCCTGCTGCTGGTGGTGGTGGTGCTGCTGGTGGTGGTGGTGCCGGGGTGGTGTGGAATGGGTTGGTCGGCCCTTCCACGACCGAAACGCTGGCCAGCGTGCCAGCACCACCGTCTTCCTTCAAGAAGGAGCGTGGCCATTTCTTGGCAGAGGAGCTCAAGGCCTCATCGGCATCAGGGGCAGCTGCTGGAGGGCCCTTCTCGGCACGACATGGCCTTGTGGGGCCCTTTAGCCGAGACACCGCCAGGACAATCGACGGCACCCCACCCGACATGAGCAACCCAAACAAGGCCGCCATGGCGGAACCTCAGGGATCTCACCCCCTCCGTGGCGTCCTGTCGTCTGGCCCACCCGGCCCGCCGCAGCCCGTGTTTCCCCCAGCTGGCTTCAACCCGCCCCTGAATGGACATGACAGCCGTGCTGACCAGGCGACGGGGGCGGCCATGGCACCGGCCATGACACAGACCATGACCAGCGGCGGGCATCTTCACAAACCATCAGCGGGGTCGGTGTCGCTGTTTTCGTCGGCCAGTCTTCCGCCATACAAGTCATGGGGCGCCTTCCAGCCTGGAGCGACTCTGTGGCCACCACCAGCACCAGCCACCCCGTCCCTCCCACCCCAGCAGCACCGCAGGCAGCCGTCACCGCAGCCACAGCCACAGGCCCAGCCCCAGCCAATGGCACTCCGACCTCTGACGCCTCCCTCGCTCTTTTCTGTCACCCCCCACACGCCCGCACGCGGGTTCCCTCTCTACCCCAGCAGCTATTACCGAGATAATGCGGCGAGGGGGAACGGTGGCACCGCTGGTGGTCCTGTGCCTGGGCCGTTCCACAACTTGTTTGCAAGCTCCACGCCGCCCACTGTGTCGGGCGGCGGCCTGGCACCACCACCTCCGGGGCTTGAGGGGGCTGAGGGATCTTGAATGATAAATGAGTGGTGAGTGAGTCGATGGATCGATGCTGGGTGTTTGTGAGTTGGTCAGAGAGAGAGAGAGATGGAGAGGGGCGGGTGAGGGATCTATCTCCATGAACGTATCTGTGTGCGTGTGGAGTGCGTGGTTGGCCGTCAGTATCACTTATTTATGCCCACATGTCTGTCTGTCTCTCTGTCTGTCTTAATTCGTTCCGGCTGATTGATTGATTGCATGCGTGTGTCGGCATCTGCATCTGCAGCATGTGTGTTTGCCCGCCAAGCCAAATGGATGGATGAGAGGAAATCGTGGAATGTGGTACTTACTGCTGGCGATGTGGTTGTTTGACGGGTTTATGCGGTGCATTGATTGCATCCGAATGACTGAGGGATCATTCGATCTAGATTGGATTTGTGACTGAGGGAGGTTATAGCAATAAAGGACATACAAGTGGTTAAGCAAGCTGGCTGGGGTGACTGACTGCCATTCATTCTTGAATGAATCGATAATATGCTTTCAAACAAAGCGAGCATACATACGATGAATTCGGTGTCTGTCGTGTCAACACTCCACTCCACTCCGCTGTCCCCCACCCCATCCCACCCACCTCATCGAATTGTGTCTCCAGCACCGAGCCAGCCACATCCCCATTCATGTAACTACCTACCTATTTAGTGTGTGTGTGTGTATGTATCCCCTGCTGTCGCCTGCCTGCCTGCAGCCAGCCAGCCGGACAGGCAAAACTTCTGATCCATCCATCGGTGGGTCCCATCCATCCCAGCCATCCATCGGTCCATTTACACGCAGAAAGAAGGCAGAAAGGAGAAAAGGCCGGCCGGCCAGCGTGTAGCTCGATAGATGGGAAGAAGGCGAAAGGTCGGTCGACCGCAGCCTCCACAGCACGGCACGGCGGCCAGGCAGTAGAATTAGGCAGTGAGAGCACAGTCAGTCGTCAATAATCGAATTGGTGTCGCCCACCCACCCACCCACCCATCCATCCCTCTATGCGTATCGTATGCATCAGGAGGCAGGCAGGCACGTATAACAAGAGAGCTACATAACATATATAACATGCACAGAGTCAGTTAATCAGTTAGTTAGCAGCAATAATTAGTGTGGTCACTCTACCTAGGAAGAGGTACATACCGTCGGTACACAAACGGACACACAGACATACAGAGAGACAGACATGGCAGGTAGGGTAGGCAAGGCGAGGCAAGGCAAGGCAAAGGACACACCACAGACATCACACTCACACAGCTATCCACGCACACCACACCACACTTACAGATACGCTCGCTCAGTAAGTAGGTACCAAGGTAGGTAGGTAGGTAGGTAGATGAGATACACACACATCATCACATATCATCACACATGCCTCGCTAGGATAATATTTATGTAGACAGACAGACAGGCCGGTAGATATTTCCTCGACAGATACATCGACAGAGATCCAATAAAGAAAGCCCCATCAATGGGATGATTGTGGATGCACGCCAAGCCATGTCATGCCATGCCCAACAGCCATAAAGTCATCCCAAAAACTAGCTAGCTACGCCCGACACACCCAAACACAAACACAAGGAAGGCACCAGTCCATCCATCACGCCAGCCATTCAAGCAGCCAACCAGCCAGGCAGCCCGCCAGCCAGCCAGCCAGCCGTCGACACAAATAAGAATCGACGGCATTGCATTATGGCGGCGCGTGAGGGGCACTCAGACGTCCCCTTCCCATCCCTGTGCGGCCGTCCCATCGTGATGGCTGTTTCGAGGCACGTCTATCCGTCCGCCAGGTGCGCAGCGCAGAGAGGCGACACGCACACACGCATGGATGGATGGATGGATAGACGTGCCTCGGAACAGCAATCGCGATGCGTCCCACATAGACAGAATCACTCACCAGACAGGCGCCCGTCCCGTGTGTGAGGCCCCGCCCCCGTCCCTCAATTGCCACGTAACGTCATGCAAGGCCTGCAAGGATGTGTGTGTTTCGATCCTCGGCACACGGACTGACTGACTGCATTGCCCAACCACGCCAAGCCACGCCCCCCACACACCTCACACCACCTAAGCTGCTCTGTTCTGGTGCGGAATGCACACATGTGTCTGTCTGGCGGATTTGATCGATGTCTCCGTCCCATTATTAGATACACGCAGATACTTACACACACACACACACACACACACGGCCACCCCAGACAGACACACGCACACACAGCATCCCATGCATCCATCCAACGGCAGCCGACCGACAGCTGTGAGCAGAAGCGCGGGATATGCGAAAAACGACCCGTCGCTTCGTTCAGCAAAAAGATCAATCACGAAATAGCCGCTCTCACTCACACCAACCCACACACGACACCACACGACATAACACCACACCACACAAGCAGCCAGGCTTTGTTTAGATAACATCCACACCACACTACACCACACCACACCACACACGCAATTCCTTGACGCACTCACCTCACACACGTGCGTCAATCACACACATCAGGTACCTACCAGACCGCCTAGCTATCACTCACTCACGCGACGTACAGTACACCCACCAGTCAGTGAGATGGATCAATCAATCAATCAGCCCAGTGGGTGGCATCAAATCACATCACATCCACCCGCCGTACCCGCCGCCATCGTCATCATCGTCGTCGGCCTCCATGCCGGCCTCCATGCCCATCTCCTCCTCGCCCTCCATCCCCTCCATACCCACACCCGACTCCCACGGCTGCAGACCCGACGACGAGTAGTCCACACCCTGGTGCAGGTAGGGGTGGTGCCCATGGGGGTCGGTGGCACCGTACCCACCCGCCACCGCCATCCCCGTAGGCGTGTAGCCGTGGTGGCCATGGTAGGCCACCTCGGTGGCCGCATAGGGGTCGGCCTGGTGCTGGTGCTGATGGCCGGGGTGGCTGGGGGACATCTCATCCTCTTCGTGCTGGTCCCTCTTCCGCCGCCGGTGCTTCCGCTTGGCCGATGAGGTTGCTTTGGCCGGGGGGGAGGGAGTGACGTCCGGCGCCGGTGTGTCGGTGAGGACCTTGCCTGGAGGCTGGTGATACGGCATGGTGGCGTATGGGTCGTACGCGTGCTGTTGGTGGAGCTCATGGTGGTGCCCTACGGCCCACTCGGGTCCCACCTCCCACTCGTCGTTGTCGGCGTCAATGAATCGCCGCTTCCGCCGGCGAGACGACCGCCGCAGCTCGTGGCTGACCTCTGACGACGCTGCGTGGCTCCCCGTGTCCTCGAAAAGCTCCAGCTCATCATTCCTAGCGGCCGTAGCCTTCCTCCCCGAGCTCGACCCGTTGGCCTGCTTGCGGCCCTTGGCCGGCCGCTCGTTCTCGAGCACATGGCCGGGGGGATTCATGTCGTCGCCCATCTGCATCGGGTCGTCATCGTCGAGCCTCTGTCTCTTCCGCGGCCTGCCCCGCTTCTTGGGGGCGGGCGACTGGTAGAGACCGTCGGCATCAGCGGCAGCCGTGCTCCTCGCCTTCTTTGCCCTGCACGACCCCCTCTTGCAGCGCGCCCGCGCGTTGCCCGTGGCGGGGTTGGGGGAGGCGGGTCCCATCGCACTCGACCCGAGCGACATGGGCGGCGACAGAGGGGGCGGGGCTGCCTCGGAATGGGAGAACATGGGCATGTGTCGAGTTGCTGCCTGGCCGGCGGCTGCGGCTTCCTGGTGGGCCATGCCCATCATGAAGGTCTGGAAGTCGAGTATCTCGATGGGTGCAGCTCGTGGGAGGGGGTTGGCCTGCAGGGGGAGGCTGCGCTCCTTGCTGCTGCGGGAGGGCTTGGGGGGGAAGGGCACGATGGCGTCGAGGGAGACGGGCGGCAGGGAGGCCGGGGCCTGAGGCTGCCACGTGATGTGCAGCTGGTCGCCAGCTATCGATATCGTACCCTCGTCGTGAAGGGCCAGCTCGGGAGACAGATTGCTGCAGGCCGGTGGAACCAAGACAACAAAACAGACAGACAGACAGCCACAAATATAATAGTGATTGTGTCAACCGATGTCTGAATGCCTGTCGTCGTGAGGGAGGGAGGGAGCTTACGTGAGGACGGAGTTGCCCATCCAGATGGGCGTGGCGCCGACATTCTTGAGCCAGAAAGTGCCGCGGCCCTCAGGACGGCCCCACGACGACTGGCTGTCCCACCGGATCACCACATGACGGCTGTCAAGCCTGACATACAGACAGCGACCGACAAAGACGCAACCAATGCCAATGACACAAACGTTTAATCAATGGATGACTACGGACTGTACTGTGGTGTGCAGTGCAAGCCACCCACCCACCCCGCGAGCCGAGCGTACCGTCTGTCGTCTCCCAGGTCGACATCGACCCGCACGCCCTGCTGTGCCCTCGAGGCACACCCCAGCACCACCGGCGTCTTCCTCACGTAGTAGTCCCAGCCCTTCTTGGCACTCACCACCCGCAGGACACCCGCACCCTCACTCAACACCTCGTCGCCATTGCTGCTGCCGCCGCTGCCGCCCGCAGTCCCGCTGGCATTACCACTGCCATTGGCGGCCTCACACCACTGCTGCCGACCAATCGACGCCAGCGAGCTATTGGGACTCACATAGGACGACTCGCGGCCGCTCTCGCCGAGCATGCCGCCGCCCTCGTTCCTCGGTGACGAGAAGGGGGGCGGGTCGAATGCCGTGGGGGACGGGGGACCGCCGTCCAGCGAAGGGAAGCCGAAGGGATGCTTCTCGCGACCATTGCCGCCGAAGGGCGACTCAGCAACGGGGGGGAAATGGGCCGGCGAGAAGGGGTCTGGCTGCCCCAAGGACGGGGCGCGGGGGAAGGGCGACGGGAACGGCGACGCACCGGCGCCTCCTGGGCTTGTGGGTTGACAGTCGAAGCTGGGCGGGAGGGAGAGGCTGGCGGGGGCGGTGGTGGTGCGCTGGGGAGGGGGCTGAGGGAGGGGGAGTGGCTGAGGCTTAGGCTGCTGCTGCACGGGTGTGCTCTGCGCCACCGGCTGGCCGTCAGCTTGTGATGGTGAGGGCTTGGTCGCAGGCTGGCTGGCGCTAGCACTGGCATTGCCATTCCCGGATCCCATGGTGGCCCGGATAGCAGCGGTCTTGGTGTCGTCGGCACGGGAGATGCCCTCGATGATCTCGTGCAGGAGGTCCTCGGCCTGCCGCAGCTCCACCTCGTCTGTGTGTTTGCCGTTGAGCTTGGCGGCCTGCAGCTGGAACATGGCCGTGAGGATGAACTGCATGAACTCGGGCGACACGACCTTCTCGATCATCGGTAGCTTCTGCTGCAACTCACGCTCCATCCGCAGAATCTCCTCAGTGCCCTCACCCACACCAGCCGGAGACGCCTGAGGGGTCGACCCCCCAACCTGGGATCCCGCGGCGTCGCCGTCGTCGCGACCTGTGTCGGGCGTCCGCCGCCCCTCCTCGCTTGCACCCTTGTCGCCCACCAAGCCCCACAGAGAGGGCGTCAGCTCGTTGGAGGTCGATGCCCGCGTCTCCTGCTTGTGGATGCCATCGGATGGGGCCAAAATTCTCTCTGGCTTGGCGGCTGTGACCGGTGAGGGGACGCTGTTGCTGTCAGCTGGCTGGTGCTGCTGCTGGCTGTCGGTTTCCGCTGTGGCCGCTGCTGGTGGTTGTGGTGGTGCTGCTGCTGCTGCTGCTGCTAGTGGTGGTTGTGTTGGGTGTGGGAGTGCATCGGAAAGGCTGCGGGGCGGAAACACTTGGCTGATGCGCAGCATGGGGTTCGCCTGGATGCCGGTCGGCAGGAAGCGAACCCACGGCTGGTGCATCATCATCAGTGGCGGGAGGGGCAGAGGGGGCGGCCTCATCGACGACATGGCGCGATGCAGCCGCAGCCTCTGCTCGCTCGACGCCCCGCTCTCCTCACCGGTCATGGGCCCAGGTTGGCTGGCATGGGGCGTGAGGGCCATGAGTCTCGGCGGCCGCAACATGGGCGGTGACACATTGACGGGGAAGAGGCTGTCGCATGAGCTGGAGGATGTGTTGGGGTTGGAGGCCACCCCGAGCGCCTCGAGTGCCGCCACGAGCTCGTCATGGTGCGTGCACTGCGGCATCGACTTGGGCGGGACATGGACGGCCTCAGGGGGCTTCACGGCGGGGAGATGGAACTGCTGCTGGTTGTGGGGTGGCCCGGTGGCTGACAGCCTGTCAGCCACCGGGCCAAACAGTTGCGGGGGATGGCGGGTGGTGTCCCGGTGTGGGGGGGTCTTGGTCGGCCTGCCCGCGGCCACCACAGGCCAGGAAGTAGGTGACGGGGCTGCATTGCCCAACACAATCAGGGGGGAAGAACTGCCGCCCTGCACACATCACACACACATAATAGTCCGCCGATCAGTTCATGCTCCTCTCTCTGGCTGGCGTGTTTGTGAGTCGTCACCTTTGCGGCGTCTTGTGAGGGTTCTCCGGCATGTCTGGGACATGAGCGGGGATGGTCGGCCTTGGCGCCCAAATCCTTGTGGGCTGACGAGTCGCGACCAACCTAAGGGAGGCAGAGAATGAAATGACCAGGCGCACATGCATTGCAGGAGACGACGCAGGCAGCATGATTGAATCTTGGAAATCAGTCGTATCGACAGTGAGTGTGTGCCATACATACCTGCTCGTCCTCTGACACCGCTTCTGGCACACCCACACCCTCGCCCTGAGCATCTGTCAGATCTGACGCACACACACCGCCCAGATGGCACACACAGAAGCAGCAGTCAGTGAGTCAGCCAGCGTCAGCCAGATGCCGCTGCAAGACTCCCGCTCATTTCTTCTCGCCTCAGTGTGTGCTTCGGAGCCCTCCCCTCTGCTGCCCCCTCGTTCTGTTCTCACCTGTGACGCAGGGGTAAGGGGAGGTCTCGAGGTCAGGTGACGGGGCAGGGACAGTAAGAGGCCGCAGGACTGACATGACACCTCGAGTCGCCTGGGCCGCCCCTCTCTCCTCAACCAGAGCTGCTAACGGCCGGATCGGCCCCGAGGAGACCAGATCTCTGCAGGGCGGGCGACAACTCGGGCTTATCGGTCTGTGGTAGCTGCAGCTGTGTGGAGGGAGTGACGCCCGCTTTCTCTCTCACCTCCAGCGAAGCTCAAGCTCGCGCTCCGTGAAACCGCTCGCTTGCTCGCCCGCTTTTGCTTTTGCCTCTCTCGTTTCCGGAGAGGCCTCACTCACCCTATTGGTGCCCTGTCTGTCAGCCGACCCTTCGCTTTCCACCGCTCCCTCCAACCATGGCTCTCGCATCGGTGCGCAGCTCCCCTCTCGTCACCTGCAACGCCTGGTGCTTCCTCTCCTCTCACGGCATCAAACGAGTCTTCAGATTACTCCTCCATCAACGCGCCAACCTCACGTGACCGCAGCTGCGCCCGGAGCAACCGCGGCAGAAGCGCCGTTCAGTCAGTGCTGCAGCCGTCCAACACTGCACCCGTCTTGTCCCGACTACTGGACTGCTCTACCTGTACGTCAGCATGCTACCCACTGATGCGTGGTGCAACATCCTCAGCTTCGAGAGATTGGTCGACGATGACGCGCGGACCACCTCCCACCTGATGGCAGTGTCGGGTGTCGACCGCTGTGCCTGCGGGGCCACAAGGGCCTCGTTCGAGCGCCTGGTGCAGTCCCACCTCAGCGATTCTGATGCGACGGGCACCAGCGCGTCTTCCACAGGCATCCTCGACTTGCTCGCCAACCCTCAACAAAGGCGGACCCTGTCGTCCAAGTGTGACCTCCTGACGTGGCGGAGTCTGTACTCCCTCCTGCGGCATCAGAGCATCCACGCCAAGGCCAAGGCCACCCCCGAGTCCGAGGCCACTGGCCCCGCTCTCCCCAGCCCCTCCCTCTCTCCCCCCTTCGACCGTATCTACAAGGCTGTGCTGCTCGGCGAACCAAGTGCCGGCAAGAACGCCCTCATTCGGCGGTGTGTCCACTGTGAGTGGATCGACGGCGACCCCCCTGCCGCCGCCGCCACCCCCGCCCCGTCGCCTCCCCTGTTCCGCCTTGCCATGGGCGCCTCACACGTCCGCGTTCGCGGCAAGGCGTTTGAGGGCCGCATCAACCTGCAGATGTGGGGCAGCTCCGGCTGGAATGTGGGGGGCCGCCGGGGGGCGCCAGGCTCGGAGGGTGGTTCAATGTCGACATTGCCCAGCGCCTTGCTGCGTGGGTGCAACGTGCTGATGATGTGTGTCGACGTGACGCGGCTGAGTGGGGAGGACATGAGGCGGTGCGAGAGGTGGCTTGAGGGTGTTGCGGGGCATGTCGGTCAGGGTGTGTTCTCACCCACCACTGGCAGCCCCCTGGTCGTCGTGGTGGGCTGCAAGGCCGACCTGCTCAACCAGCAAGACAGGTGAGTCAGTGAGTCGGGGACACATGGCTGGCTGGCTGGCTGGCAAGGGAAGACAAGACGCACGCAACGCAATACGAACGAACACCTTCCCTTTCTTGTTCATTCTTGTTGTGGCATGGCTGCAGGCAAGCCATGGCTGCTTCCGACAGTAATGATGGTAACGCGTCGGGGCCGTCACCAGCCCCACCCCCTGCCCAGCCGTCAGCTCGCGTGTCGTCCTGGCGGTCTCTCATCGACGGAGTGCGCGAGGGGTGCGTGTCGAGGGGTCTCAAGTGGGGCGGCGCAATGGTGACATCCGCCAAGGATGGACTCAACACAACACGACTGCAGGTGAGCGAGTCCATGCCATGGCACGGATCGGTCCGATTGTGCATGTGATTGTGCCTGTCCTGCTCTACTTACTGATGTGTGTGCAGGAGTTGACAGCCTGCTTCTTGGTCGAACACGAGCGTCGGTCGTTCGGCCGCCTTCGGTCACTTGTCGACAAGGTCATCGCCTATCGCACAGCAGGGTGAGCCGAGCCACCACAACACACCCTCAGACAGTCGCATCCACGCTTCGAACTAACGTGTGCTTGGCTCCCTCCCTCACTGCAGACTCCCCGTGTCCCACGCCACACTAGTGGACGAGGCACCGCCCCCGGCCTTCCCGCCGCCCCGCGCACGCCCAGCAACGTCTCCCACTGCTCCCTCACAGCCTCCGCTGCTGGTCGGCACATGCATCAAGAGCAATTCGACCCCCGAGTGCGACGACGAGCAGCCCAGCGAGGTGTCGACAGAGATGGGCAACGAGACGGAGACACAGGCGTCTCATCTGGACTTCCTCTCGTCCCGGGGGGAGGAGCCTTCGGAGCCCCTGTCGCCGTCTCTCGGCCCGTCCTCGCCATGCCGGCTGGTGGCGTCTTCCGTTCAGCCTCTGGTGTCTCTTAGCCGACTCAGCGGGGCGCCTACGGTTTTGGCCGACCCCTTGATGGTGTACGGGCCTGGGTGTGAACCGCCTAGGACATACTGCTGTCAGGGGAGCCAGGAGGGGGTGGCGAGTATCGACGTCGAGGATGAAGGTCACTGGGATGTGGGAGAGAGGCTGGTTGTGGGCGGGGGTAGGGAGAGCAGGCCGATGCTGCCTGCTGGGTGTCACATTCAGTGAGAGAGTGTGAGGGTCCGTCCAGTTTTGTGAATGTCGGTGTGTCGTGGGGTGGGTGCGTGATGCGACGCATGTTTGAATATATATGTGATGTGTGGTGATCTGATCGTCGTTCGTGGCGATTGACTGACTTGTGTAAGTGACCCGATCAGGCGTGCGTGCGCTGTCCTTATCTGCTCCCCTCGCTGCCACCTCACTGCCCGTGGCATTTCCAGACGGACCGGATGTCTCGGACTGTGCAGTCGAAGCGAGGGGAGCAGATGGAAAGTGCCAGCAGACGTGATCTGATCCTTCCGTATGTATGTCTGTCTGGAGCTTTCAGACACTGTGTGTGAGAGACAGTGTTGTGGGTGGGGTGAAGGGCATCGAATGAGTGATCGGTTTGGTCGTCGCGGACATCGACTTGACTCACAAACAAGAGGATGCCGTCTCTTGACTGCGAGTCAACTTGATGCCGGTCACGTCAAGCTGATCGATCCGATGTTTGCCCCGCCGACAGGACGCTCCTGTGTGTGTGGACTCGTGATAATCAAACAAAGACCTCTTCGTGATCGCATGGATTGATGGATGGATGGGGATATCAATTCTGTCTGATCAACATCCTTTCGATCGAAGCATCTGGGTGTCGATCTGTCACGTGCAAGATATCTACGTTCATCGACTCGACGGATGGCATGGCAGCATATATATGCGCTAGTCATCAATCCAATCGGTCCCCCACACACACATCCACGTAGACATACATAATACAAATGTATGTATACCCCCCCGGGCCACCCACCCTATACAGACAGACGGACAGCCACGCCACGCCAGGCAAAAGGGCATAGCATGCACACAAAAACTGTATGCATGTCATGCACTCGGCAGCAAGGAAGACCATATCGACATACACATCTCATCTCAAGAGTTGGGACTTACAGATAGGAAGGAAGCAAGGTAAGGTTGGGTTGCCGCACAGCACTTCCAAAGTGGACCGACCGTCCGCGCGACATGACCGCCAGCAATTGCAAGCACCCAAAAACCAAACGCCACACGCCGCACATTCACACCACACACAGCACACTACACTAGGCAGCTGCAATCAAAAGGCAGACCACACGAATTCAAAACTCGCTCTGCCAAGAAGCAGACCGGTGTCGGTCCGCAGAGCGATCGACGCATCGCGGACGGGGGAAAACTGTGGGCCTCACTCACTTGTGAGGATGGTTGGGGTGGGTCGGGACGAGCAAACCATACACATGGCATAGCACCATCAGGCCTAGCTACCTACCTACCGATCCTAGCAGCAAGGAGGGAGGGCGGGGGAGGGGCATGCACTCGCTGCATATTTCTCTCGCGACATCGGTCGATTCGTTCCGGCGATCGCCTTGCACACTTGAGGGTGACGGACATTCCGAATCAGCAGGGCGAGATCCGAAATAACCATCAGCCAAAAAGAACCAAGGCAGATCGCCAGCACTGGCGAAAGAAAGCAGAATGTCCAGCAAAGGGGGGAAAGAACACACATCTCCATCCATTAACCACCATGAGCACGCCCACGCCCCCCCCTACTCGCCAGTAAGTCTGTCTGAGGCAGTGCCCACCATCCATGTGTATACAGACACACCCAGCCAGCCAGCCAGCCTGCGCTGCCTTCGTCTCTATGCAAGTCTATCTGTGTGTCTAAGTGTGTGTGTGTGAGAGTGTGTGTGTGTCTACGCGAATATCTGGTTGATGGTGGTGGCGTCCGAGCCGCGGAGGTTGGGGGTCACGTCCGCGGCGCTGTCCACCTCCAGCAACTGACCCTGCAAGCACACAACACGACACATGCAATCAATGACATGTGTGTGTGGGTGTTTGTGTGGTAGATGCTGACCGCGACGTGCGGCTCGGGTGGTGTGTAGTATGGGAGGCATAGCTGTTTGTAGCTGCCGGTGGTCTCCACCCACTGCTGGAACGCCTCCTTGTACTTGGACACCGGACACTTGCCACTGCACAGCACACACAACGCACACACAACACGCAATTAGATCAACACAGACAGACGACCTGCCGTGGCGGGTGTGGTGTGCGCATGTGTGTTCTGTTACCCGAGCGACTCGCAGATCGTGGGAGTGACTTCGATGTAGTTGCCTGAGATGAGAGACCGCCCATTCTTGTGGTGGAATGGAATGTGTGTGTGGTTGGTCACGTCACAAGCTACCTACCTACCTTTACTGTTGATGAGTGGGTTGGTGTCTTTGTCGAGGTCGCCCTCCTCCAGGTCCGTCGGCCACCATATCAACGTCTTGACGTACGGCTGACACACACCAGCACCACACACACGAATCGATTCGATTCCGTACGCTACGTGTGTGTGTTTCTTTCGTGTGTATGCGATGTGGGCCCCTCCCCTCCTAGCCTGCCTGCCCCTCTCCCTGACTGAACTGACCTCTTCGTCTCCCTCTTGGTAGACCTCCCACACGATGGTGCTGGCCGTCACGAGGTAGCTGGGGATGTGCCCCGGCAGAGTCACCGGCACGTCGAACAGCTTCAGCACCGCATACAGCAGCTCCCGGTGGTTCAGGAAGACGTACATCTTGGTGGGGTTGCCCGCGGCAGCCGCCAGCGGGCCGCCCCCACCCCCCTCCCCCTCCTTGGCCCCCTCCTCTGAAGCTGTCTTGTACCCCGGGGTGCTCTCGAAGAGCTCCATGAGTTTGGCGGGGAAGCGGCCCGCCCAGTAGGTGACCTGTTCCTCGGTGCCGAAGAAGGCGTACATCATCCAGTCGAATGCGAAGTCATGGAAGGCCTTGAGGTCCTTTGGGAGGAGGTTGCCGTCGAGCGACATGTCAAAGGACTCTGTCTCGGCGAAGAGGAAAGAGTCGTCGATGATCTTGACCCAGTCGGGGAGAGTGAAGGCGCCGTGGGTCATCTTGTCGACGTTGAGGACGTTGTAGCTGCACGCCTCGCCCACCTTTCGCAGGATGGACCGCTGCTCGTCCGTGAGGGTGGCCTCGAGATGCTTGGCGATCTCTTTCTTGTCCTTGCTCGAGCGACCGATGCACATGCCGTCACGAGGCGAGTTGAACAGGTCGTCGTAGCCGGGCGTCACGCTCTGGATCGGCAGCACCTGAGGCCTGCATCGCATGGCATGCAACACATCCATCCCATCCCATCCACATGTGATGTGCATGTGCTGTGTGTGTGTCTTGCATGGCATGGATGCGTACCGTCTGCCGAGGTATCCCCTTGGCCCGGTGCCGTCAGGGAAGAGGCCGTTGCCGAAGGCCACGGTGCTCATAATGTTGCGGTCCTCCAGCTCACTCTGGAAGAACAGCGTGTTGTCGTCCGAGTAGTGCTGCGGCAGGAAGCCCTTCTCGTAGACGTACCGGTGCCGCGCCCAGGCACCCAGCTGGTACATCTCGCTCATCCCCACCCCCGTCAGCTGCCCGGAGGCGCCGTAGAACTTCTCGAGCGTGCTCTTGTAGGCGGGGCAGAAGTCGATGGTCGGCTCGTTGGGCACTCGGTTGCCGTGCCGCGACAGCATGATGGCACGCTTCAGCTCCGCCTCGCCGGACACACACGGGGCGGCCGCTAGCAGGGCGACAGCCGCGAGTAGCGACGCAGCCAGGGGCCGCAGCAGCAAGGTGATGTGCATGGCGGACGTCGGGATCTCTTAAATTCAATGAATTCGGTGACGCCTCGTCCGAATGCGAGCTGCGAGGCGGGCTTGAGTTTGCGAGGGGAGAGGAGCCTTGGCATAGATCTCGATGGAGAGAAGCAGTGGTACAGCGCAAGAGATCAGCACACGCACTCATCTGACTGACCCATGAGTGTTATGGTGGCTGTGTCTATCTGTCTATCTGTCTACCTGTGCAGGTCGGTATGAGATGCATCGAGAGCCTCCTCCGCCCCACACATCATCCCATGACTCCCCGCCGTCATTCCAACAGCCGCCACGGCTGCCGATGCAGGCAGAGATGTTGCTTCTGAGCGTTTCCCGCCGCGACTTGAACACAACGTTGACACTCCTGACCCATCTCAAGGACCAGGTCGCCTCCCCTGCACCACTCACGCCTCCTGCAACTGGCCAAAGCGATGTCGACAAGACAGCCGTTGTGCCCCTGCTGCTGCTTCTCGGCAACCCGGAGCTTCATTGGCTCGAGGAATGCTTCCCCGGCTCATGTGCGTTACTGCTTGGCGCCGCAAGCAAGTGCATCATCGACAACGACCGTCACGGCACATCAAGATCATCGCGCAAGGGCGCCGCGTCGGTCTATCGGGACTTCCTGACGCATGCACTCCCGCATCTGGTGGACCTCGCCGCGGCGCAATCCACGCAATCAGCACTCGGCAACGATGCGCCAGCAGTTCGCTTCCTGCTGCGATTCATGTCCCTCATTGTGGACACGGCGCTTGACTTCCCCGCCATTGTGCTGCCCGTAACTCACCGGTTGCTATCTCTGGGCACGTCTGCGGGCTTCCTGGCGTCCAGCGACCACTTCGGCATGCACTGCGACGCCATCACGAGCATCATGGCTGCTGCGGTGAAGGCCAGTCATGATAAGGGGGGTGAGGCAGCGATGTGGAGGATGGCGGTCTCGGTCGGCCATGCTGTTGTGAGGGACTTCCGCACTGTTTGGATGTGCGAACCTTCAGTGCCATTGCTGCTGTCGTATGGCAAGGAAAGTGACTCGTCAGCCGATCCGCAGCGCTCTCATCGAAGCCCTCTGGATGGCCTCTGTACCTTTCTCGAGCAGCTGGACGACAAGACGCGGCACAAGACACAGCAGAGAAACGCCGCCTCTCGCGCCTGCTCTGACTTGTGTTTTGAGCTGGCGGCAGCACTGCAGCGGCCGACGATGGATGGTTCCGCTGAGGATACTGCGGTCGATGAGATAACCACCCTCCTGGTGTCGTTTGGCCGCGTTGGTGGTCCACCTGCCCTCAGCAAGAGTCGGGAAGCGATGGTTGCGACGGCGTGTCGCTGGATTGAGGAGATGGCTCGGGTTGAGGAGACCGCGATGGGTGCGGAGGCAATGAGGCGGCTGGCGGTGGCCTTTGTGTCGGTCAGCAGACTGGGAGTAGAAGTTGATAGGGACAAACACGCGGCAACTCCAAGGTGACTGTAATTAGAACGAGGACACATCCTTTGCTTGGGGGTTACAGGGTCTGTGTGAACACCTTTGTGCATTGTCTGATGGGTCAGGGTGGATTGTGTCGGGTCTGTCGGCATTAGGGCGATGCGGCGACTCTTGATGCCGCCTGAGGTCATCCCTGAGACTGACCAAGACGTTGACAAAAGACTGCCGATCATCGGTACGGAAGAACAGCGACACGGCGTCACACCCTCTCTCTCTCTACACTGTGTGTGTGTCGGTGATCAGCCACATGGCGGAAGAGCTGTGTCTTTGGTGCGCTGCCTCGGTTCACGCCTCTCTTGGCGGCTGCGGCCATGTCGGACCCAAAGTGGGCGGAAGCGCTTGACAATCTGGCAAAGGTGAGACAGCAGACAGAGCCACCCTGTCCATCTGCAGCTCCCAACACAAACGTCCGTGCTTTTGGCAGAATTGGTCGGATGCTCACGTGTCAAGACCTACACAGATGCGGCACGAAGCCTTGCGATTCCTGCCAACCCTTCTATTCTACATCCTCAGCGACGTCGCCAAATCGGTGCTCTCGACAGCCGGTCCCTCAGCAGCCAGCAGCACGGCAGCTCTGCTTCATCTCGTGAGCGCCTTAGGCTGGCTGGAGGCATTCCGCAAGGCCTGCAGGCCCACACTCGATACTCTTGAGTATAGAGCACTGCTCTCCACGATCTTCTCGGCCCTTCTGGAAGACAGCGAGACCACCGCAAGGGCCTTGAGCAACATGCTGAGAGAGGCTGTGACGGCCATTGACGTACATGCGGCAGAGAGCCACACCGTCAGTAGTCTGTTCCGTCTTCAGTTTCTCCTGGATCTGCTGACCAGTGCTGCTGTGGATCGTGTGTACGGGCAAGGTACGCGACGACAGCTGACGACGCTGCTGAGGAGTCCCGAGATGGCGGCTGCTCTGACGCCCATAGTGTGGGAGGGACTCACCCTCTTCCCACGGCTTTCGTCGCAACCACGAGATCAGCAGCCTTACCCTGAGGGATTCAGCGAGTGGCCTGCTGGTCCCCCTGCTGTCAGGGCACGCTTGTCGTCTCTGTGCGAGAAGTCCCACACGCTCATGAGGCTGATGGCGGCGAACCAACACGACCCCAACACGTGAGCAGAGCACACACATGGTGTGCTGTGTTGCGACAAGGCCACAGGTGGGGTGGCACGATCGATTCGATCATGGTGCGTCTGTCTGACTGTTGCAGGTCTACATGGGCGTCGAGCTACGCGTGTGTGGCGCTCAGTGGCGTTGCATTGATGCCCCACCTCGCCGGCACAGTGGCAGCTACTCTTGCGGCCATCTCTGGTGAAGCCCATGACAGGAATGGTAGGGCAGTGCAGTGTCAATGAGTTGTTATTGAGCTAGATGTCTATGCCATGAGTGTCTTGCAGATGTGTCAATGCAGGTCGAGACAGTGACCTGCCTGTTGGATCAGGTGGATGCTCTGGCCAAGAGAAGCATGGTGGAGAGTCACCTCGCCGGCAGGCACGATCCCGCCGCACTGCTGCTCAAAACAGCACTCGCATTCTGCAGAGTAAGGCAGAGAAAGCGATCGACTACACTCTCATGGACATGATTGACTGCCTGTCATGGTACATGTAGTATTTGCTGCCTGGGTCGGCCACGCGCCTGCTGCCGATATTCCACACGTTTCTGTGTGACAACCCCTCGCTGAAGGCTGCATTCGTGGAGGCAGTGCTGAGCCAGTGAGCTGACACGCTCCCTCCCCATATCGACCCACCTTTTGCCACTCCCTCCCTGCGTCTCTTTGCTGCAGGTTTCCATATATCCTGCGTGGGCCCGTGATCTCGTGGTACAACAGCAGAGGGAAAGGAAGCGACGCGGGACCGCCGGCCTTGCCGTCTGCCGACAGTGTTGTACATAGTCGAGAGAGGCGGGAGAGGGCTCAGATGCGTGTGAAGCCAAGGAACGGGGCTGGGGATGATGGTCGAGTGCCTGTGGATGTGCGGCCCCTCGCACGTATGGTGTGGGAGACTGGGGTGCTCTGGGGTGGCAGACTGGCCAGAGCCAGACTCTGATGACATGCGACATTGTAGCTACCCGACCAGTCCAGACATGCCACTACCATTAACACTAGGGACTACGCTGTCTCTTCGATATCAAAACCACCCCGCTACCACACCTCACACACACGCGCATCTACCGAAGAGAGGCGAGCGCCGCGCCATGCCCCCATGCGGGAGGCCTCATATACTGATGATGCACTGGCAGATAGGACGGGTGTGGCGACACAGCTACGGGCAGCGGTACCATCTTGCTCATGTAGGCAGGAGACAGTGACGGGATCGGCAAGGTCTGCCTCACAGGAGCAGCCAGGTTAATCTTCACTGCCGGATCATGCTGGTCGTGTCTCATCCTCTTGGGGGTGTTGTTTGGCACGGGAGGCGCCTTGCTCACACCCGACCGAGTAGTGTGCAGCGGAAAGAGGAACCCTGGCTCCTCCACCGCACTCGAGCGTCTCCGCTGTCTGTTCTGTATCCTGGCTGGCTGCTGTTTGGCAGATGGGGGACCGCTCTTCACATCTGATGGGCGTCGGCGTTTGGTTGATGGGCCGCGATGCTGACTGACAGGGGCAGTCGGATTCTTGTGCTGACGGGTGGGCAGCACGTCGCTCGACAGTGTCTTGCTTTGACGGAATGATGAGGCCCGTGTGTCTCTCGCCGGGCTGCGTCCTGCCGCTGGCTGATTGATTCGTGTCCGCTGCGGCTCCACCGATTGGCTGCGAGGACGAATGGCTCTTGCCTTGTGTAGGGGACTCGTCGGACGTGAAGTGCTTCGTGTCTCCCTCTCCCTCGACACCGACGGCCTGCGCGGGCCACGAGAGTCCTTCCTCCCTGGCTGCGCAGTGTTGTCTCGCCTAGAGAAGACCGCTCTGCTGAGTGGCAAGGGGCCTGCTGCTCTCGCCGGTTGTCGTGGGCTGTCTTTCTGTGTCTCAGCACTTGACCGCTGCCGCAGAGGGGACACTGCTCGCTGACTTGCGTCGAAGTGAGGTGTTGCTGGCGAGGGCTTCATCGAGGAATGCGCAGATGGAGGTGTCACTGGTGACGAGACACTTCCATAAGGCGCCATGTGATTCGCCACAGTGACGGGGCTGTGAGGCACTGAGGCCGTCCAGCGCAAGCCGGGAAGATCCCTCAGCGATCCAAGCTTCCGCCTCGGCACCACGTGGTAGGGCAAGGGCAACGAAAGCCGAGTAGGCAAGGGATAGTGGGATGCGGGTGCAGCCGTGGCCACGCCAGATACAACATGTGATGGTGACCCTGACATCGCCGGGGCGGCGGAACTGGGGACGCGAGAGGACCAACTGGATGGCTGAAGAAGGCCTCCAAATATGACTGGTGACATAGACAGGCGTCTCTCAAAGACGGGCAAGGGAACAGGCGGCGGAGGGGCAGGGGCAGGGGCAGGGGCCAAAGGAGGCGGGCGTATAGAGGGGAGTATCGGAAACTGTAGGGGGTTGGCCGCTCGGTCGCCCAAAGCTACGTGGCTGCCTCTGCTGTCGGGCACATGAGGCCAAATGGGGAAGGGGGGTGTGACTGGAACAGTGACGACCGTCGGTCGCGGCGGCACAGTGACGGCGGCGGACATCGAGTGACGAGCAGGACGGTCCTTGTAAGCCCCCAAATGACCGTGCGAGAGCAGCCATCCCAGTGGGCTCGGAAATAGTGCTGTAGATCCGCGCACGGGGCCGTGTCTCCTCCGCTTGCACCTCGTAGTGTTGGTCTCGGAAGGTCGGAGAGGGAGGGGACTCTGTCTCGGTCACTCCCGGCTCCTTGTCCTGCGGCGCCTCATGGTCGCTCTCTTGCCCGTCGGCGTCCGAGTCGCTGCTGATATCAGCATCAGGGGCAGGGACGATTATGGCTGATCGCGGGCTGTCGCTGCTCCAGATCGGGGTCACCGCAACACGGGGGAGAGATGGGGACGCTGCCGCTGCTGCTTCTCGTTGTGGCGTCACGTACACGGAGGATGCAATGGCTTTCTGATTGGGCTGAGCAGATGCGTGCAAAACGAGGCCTTCTGGGGCTGCGGGAGGCTCGCAAGCCGCGGCAGCTCGCTGCTCCAAAGGCGCGACCTCGGCAATGGGGACAGCGCTTTCCATCTCTGTAAGACACACAGGGAATGGAAAGTCCAGTGTGTTAACTCTTCCCTCTTTCCCTTCTCTTACCATGGAGACCTTCACCAGCCATTATTCCTTGGCCATCCACGAATGTCTCATCCACACCAGCGTGTGGCCCTTCCCTCCTCTCACCTGTGCTTTCCATCAGCTTGCGTAGGTCCTGATGCAGCAGCCGCAAGGCCTCTGTGTTGTCATCTTGCTGGCGGATCAGCCGCGCCAATGTGTCCTCGGTAGGAGCGGTTGCTCGCACCCTCTCGCACTCTTGCACCAGGCTGTTCACCAGAGCTATGGCTGCATCTGTCTCAGCCCCTCCCACAGACCTGGCCGGCTTTGCGGCGGCCTCTTCTCCCCTTGTACTGCTTTGCTTGTCTGGCCGTTCGTCGTCACTCAATGTGATGAGCTCTTCACCTGATGGCTGCATATCAGGCAGTGCTGGACAGACAAGGGCATCGTGGCCTTGCGGTTGATCTCTCGGTTTCTACTTCCCCCATGCCGCGCTCACCCTTGTTCGCCGACCCAGCTTGCGCTGCCTCCACTTGCCGCTCTTCACACTCAAAGCCTTCCGACGGCAGGCACACCAAGCGGCTCGCTTCAGCCCCGCTGGCCGTTTTTCCTTGTGGGCCCGTGGACGAGCTGGCCGTCGATGCAGGATTGCCATGCAGCGGTCCAGTAGTGGCACGGGTCACTCCGGCGGACGGTCTTGACGGCAGCACCATGGCTGTTTTGCCCCGCATGCCCTCCTTGGCCCCTGTCGGGCTTGTTACCCGACGAATCGGCAGCGGAATCCTCAGCGATGTCTCGTACGCCGGTCCGGTCCGTGGCGGTGTCTCAGGGGGCCCTCTCGCACGCGACAGCCCGCTACCGATCATTCTTGACGGCAAAGGGTCCTGAGGTCCTGAGTGAGCTCTTGGAAAACTGGTAATCTTGGACTTGCCGTCTGTGGATGCAGCTGCACGGCGGTGCTCTGACTTCATCTGCAGCGCTGGCTTTCCGGTCGTCGTAATGACGGGAGTCTCCCTTTGTTTAGGTGGCAGCGTCTCCTTGATGTCTGCCGGGTCTTGGTTAGCCACAGAAGCGGCCAGAGCAGATCCCCGAGAAGAGGAGGAAGAAGAAGAAGAAGAAGAGAGGGATGGGTGGCTGTACATATCTGAAAGAGACATGGATGATTTCAACGGCGCTTTCTTGTGCTTGCTGTAGCCTGCTCGTCGTCCCCACCGGGCAGCAATGGCGGCAACACAGATGGAGAGATCCTTTTGGCCGACCGAGACTGTCGGCGAGACAGCCACAAGGAAGCAAAGAATGCCTTCATCCCTCCCTGGCAGACACCCAACCCAGCCACCCATTCATGCGTATGGTCAGTGACCCGTAGCTACCAGTGCAAGCTCCTGGTATGGGTCGGCCATTGAGAAGTGCGCCCACGCCATACACGCCGACAGCACGGTAAGAAATAAGAGACACTAGAAAGGCTAGATAGATGTGTTCCCGTTTTTCTCTTACCTGAGTAGGAGGAGCATTTTGACGGCGTCAGGCTTGGCTGCAGCCTCCACACACTCGGCCCAACACCTTTCCGCCAACTCGAGTGTGTCCTCAGGCAGCCGCTCAGGCAGCCACTTATCGATGCCTCTGGCCTTGGTCCTCCACTCGGCACCATCTCTGTCCAGCTCCTCCACATCTGCACTGCCCAAATGGAAGATGGAAGCTGAGGTAAACGGCTGGTCTGATAGCCGCAGCGCCCCGGGAGTGCTCTCGGTGTCCCTGGGAGGAAGCAGGCCGACAAACACTGCACAAGCTCCAACCGGTTCCTGCAGCTGCGACAGACAGGAAACGGCAGTGGAGAGAGGAATATCGCGTGTAACAGAGGCGTTCATTGCCCAGTGCGCACCAGCATCGTCAGGAGCTTTGCAGATGGGAGGATGATCTCGCGGAAGCACCGAATCGTCCCATCATGACGGTGTTTGACGAAGAGGCCGAGTTTGAGTCCTGACAGAGGAGAGAGAAGGATGGTGACGCCCTTGGATGGGGGGAGTGAGTGCAAGCGGAAGGCACGGCTGCCATGATCTGAAACCTCCAAATATGCAAAGGTGCAATGAGGAAGACAGTGAGGCGGCCCAACGGACAGGTCGCAGCATGATAGCGTGGGAAGGAACGGCTGCTCGGGGCTGCGGCTTCTTCCAACAGCAGTGCCCATAGGGGTGGGGAAAAGGGGTGAGAGTCGAGAATCGGATGGGGGCTTGGGGGGCCCGGCCATGCGGCGTCTCCGTAACGTCCCGTGGGGCTACTAGATATCGAGGCAATGCCAATTCCACTTGTTGTTCCGATCTCCACCCTTGTCGCATTCGCAACGGTCCCTTCTGTGTGTAAAGGGCGTTGGGCGAGACAGCCTGTCTTGGAGACGGGGGAACAAGCGGGGGAATCCGATGAGCCCGGGGTTTGGCATGATGCGCGGGAGCGCCTTGAGCCGACGAGAAAAGGGTATCTCCTGTTCAGCGACATTGACGACACCATCATCTGTACGTATGCGCGCGGAGGGATGGACAAGACCATACATCAGCTAGCTTGACCAATGCATACATGCAATGCCATGAGGACTGTGCGGTGTGTGTGCAGGCAGCGGAAGTTCCTGGCCCAAAGGCACAGGTGTGGTGTGTGTGATTCCCCATCGCAGACAGACAAGGCAGTAACCCACATGGCTTTGCATGGAATTCTCTTCTCTCCCTCTCTTTGTGTGTTTGGGTGCGTTCGGCCGGCCGCTGGGAGTGTCAGACGATTTGTGCTACACCGATGAGGTGGGAAGGCAAGATGGTGCCAACTGACCCATCCATCGCCTGCCTGTGCGTGTATGCGTGCAGGTGTACCCAGGCCTGATGCAGCTGTACCTCGAGCTCTCCGCCGGCCCCGACTTCGTCGCGCACCCTCCCTTCTTCCGTCTGGTATCGGCACGGCCAAAATTCACCGTTGGGGACCCCAAGGTAGGCGCAGTAGCATCAGGACCATCAAAACGTGCATGCATCGGAATCCTTGTCTGTCTGTCTGTCTGTCTGTGACTGTGCAGAACTTAGAGAAGAAATCCTGGAACAAGCTGTCCAACGCAACCGGGGTGCTCAACGGCGTCATTTGGGGCGTTGATGAGGAGCGGTCCGGGTTCGGCTGGGCTACGGATTTCATCAGCCCCGATTGGGAAAAGACGGCGGAGACGAAGACACAGAACATCATCAGCAGCTTGACTAAGGACGGAGGCCACTACACTGATGTGGCTGATGGCGCCAAAGGTGGGTGGCGCGAGTGGCGCCTAACTGCCTGCCTTGTCACACACACAGATTTATGAGGGGCAGACACACACCGATGGCGTGTCTCTGACTGTTGTGTGGCCACAGGCTACATTTGGATAGGAGACAGTGGCCAGGGTGACTTTCTGACCGGAGTCAAGCTGATGAGGAGTGGAGGGGAGGAGCCTGCATACGTGCTCATCCACAACCTCGAGTCCAACAAGTTCAGCAAGAAGGACCTGCTCAACAAGGGCCTCAGCCAGAGACAGCGGGAAAAGTTCATCTTCTACACCATTTGAGTGAGAATCAATGATACCAACAGCACCGACGTAACTAACGCACCCCATCTATGTCTCTCGGGGTGTGTGTGTGTGTGTGTGTCTCCCCGCCACCACACACGTGCCAGCATAAAGCAGCTGGCTCACGTTCTACAGAACAAAGGTTTCATCACGGAGGTAGCACGGGCCCGTGTCAACCAGGCCATCCAGGATTCGGCCATCTACCGCCTCTGCCAGAGGGCCGATGGCGCCTACCCCTGCCCCGGAGACACGGACCCCATCAAGGACTTGGCCATGTCCGACCAGACGGTCAAGTTTGACGCCGCCAATTGCCATTACAGATCGGCCTTCAAGGTGTCCTACCATGACCGACGGAAGGAGCGCTGCAGGATGCTAGTGTCCTTATATGGCTGAGGGGAAGAGGGAGGGGTGGATGGATGGATGGACTGGATTCTGACTGAGAGGGAGGGGTACGTACGCGAGGACCGTTATGTTATTTGAGATCGGGAGGGACAGGAGACATGCCGGTCATGCATACCATACCTGCGTCCAATCTTCTCCCATGCCATGTATATGATTTATTTATTGAGTGAAGGCGTCGCAACGTTGGCTAGCTAGCTACTGTCGTGTCCCTTCATCGAATCGAGCTCCTTCCTTTGAGCTCCCCCATCCGTGCCATGCCACGCACACTGACTCATTGACTAACACACGAACGAACACGTGCGACAGTAGGCATGCAGGCCCTTTGATCTATCGGTTGACCTTCTCTTAGCACGGACATGCACACTCACACATACAGACGAGGCTGCCCCAGTGCTGGCGCCGCGCCATTCATTCATCATCCATCCATCCATCCATCCATTCAGGTATGTATCTATCAGCTGAACACTTCATTGACGATCACAGCACACAAGGCCGTCACGGAGATACACAGACCTGTTGGTGTGGAAAGCGCACAACGAATGCAGCACAACACAACACAGCCAGGGAGGGAGGGAGAGATCCACGCGGTCATGCACAGCACATGTGTCTGTCATTCAGCTCGTACGCACCTGAGACGACGAGCGTCCATCCCCGCACGGCCACCCACACATCAGCCGCCTTCCGTCTCTCTATCTGCGTACACACCGTACAACACAGACAGATTTAACACAAACACTTGCTCTCCTCTCTGATCGACGGACTGGCTGACTGACGTGTGCTGTAAGTGCTTTGCTTTGCCTGCGTACCCCTAGAGTGAATGCGCCCGGGCATATGTACACGAGGAACACACCAGAGGTGGCACCCACGATCTGAATCACCAAGTCCAGCCTCGGCAACGCAACAGCTGAATGATTCAACGTTAGAACGAATCAACAAACACAACACAGGCACTTAGATAGATAGATGGTATGCGTCGTTGTCTCCTCCCGCGTGTGTGTGTGTGTGTCCGTACGTTACGTACCTAACAGGTATGCGGCTGCGATGCATACGGCGGTGAGCAGGAGGTTCTGAGGCATGGGCAGCGTCGCCAGCTTGGCGTCCGGTTGAAACCGACCCAACACCAGAGACCTATACGGACAGCCGCACCGCACCGCACCAGTGAGTACATACAGGGGGAAGGAAGGTGATTTGATGATGTGATGTGACCTGACTGACCTGAGGGGGAATTGTATGACGGGTGTCTTGAGAACGATGCACAAGCCCAGCAGCACCTGGGCAAGGGACAGATGGGGATCACGCGCCTGTACACATCACATGCACACAGACAGACAGACAGACATACGCCCACGTGATGACCGGCAGACGTGAGTGAATGTGTGTGCGTCTGGTCTGGTTGTCTCTTGTGTTGTGTTGGTTGTTGCCGGCCGGCCGACCGACCGAGTGTACAGCCATGAATGTGTTGACAAGTTGTGTGAGGATGTCTGTCTCGGTGCTGGCGTGGAACACAAGATATGGAACCATCCCTACACACAGCACACAGAGAGAGAGCACAGCACAGCAGTGGGTGGGATGTGATGTATTCATCCGGGTGGACGAGCGGGCCGCTCTCGTGTGGTACGGTACGTACCGGCAAAGACGTAAAAGGCGAAGGCTATCACACACACCGCTGTAATGACGCACAGCACACGTGGGTGGCAAAGAGAACAGAACAACACAAAGCTGAGCTGCAGGCATACGTGTGTTGTGTGTTTGCATTGCATGGGTGTGGCGTCCATGCAAACCATACATACCTGTGCCCAGTGGTATTGCCCGCCTCTTCCATTGCGGCCGCAGCTCAGCATATACCTGGGGCACATTCATGTGGCCATTCATGTAAGTGCCTGTCAGGACAGGCACACACAGACAGAGGGAGGCGAATGACTGCTCGGCTCGGCTCGGCTCCACCGTGGCCAACTGCACGCCATTCTGAGCTCACTCACTCGTCATTGGGAGCGAGAGAATGAGCCCGATGATGGGCGATATCCTCTGGGTGGTCTCGTCGACCTGTATGTGCTCCCTCACCAACACACTCTTGACCGTGCATATCACTGATATCACCACAAACGACCTGGCACAGCACACAGATGAGATAGATGGGCGTACACACGGTACGCACAAGTCAGTCAGTCGCCCATGTACTGACTGTATGTATGGGTGTCCTGTCCGCTCACGTGAAGCAGAAAGTGTTGATGGCAGCGAGCCCGTCGTAGGTCCTGGCGAGGCAGACGGGGAACATGGCCAGGGCCACGAGGGCAAACAGGGTCGGACGCGGCACCGACAGACTGTCGGGCAGACTCACACTCAGGATGTTCGTCGCTGAATGAACACACACACACACACACACGCAGACCACGCGAGAGCCGTTCAACTGCACACACTCTCTCTCTCTGCGTGTGTATATGTGTGTGGTCAGCTAACCTACCAATGATGATGTATGCAGCGGTCGAGCCCAGCAGCAACCCAATGAGCGACAGGTCAGTTATCCGGCTGAACCACTGACACAACACACACACAGATAGATAGATGCAAGCAATGAATCAACGACGAGTCGATCAGTTCAGTCTTGCCATGCCATTGACTGACTCACCATCCCGAAGGCCCTCTCTCCCAGATCTTCGTATGACACGCATCGCGAGATCTGCACGCTCCTGATGATGCAGACCATCGCCAGCTGCGCCAGCCACGCCATCGCAGCGAGGCCGATCACGCCCAAAGTGATGCCGCAAAGGAGAAAGATGAATGGCATGGCCACCACACCGGTGCCTATCATGGCCACCAGCAGCGTCGAGACGGCGCCGAGAGGGGACAGCGCCTCAGCAATGCCCGGCACGAAGCCATCTTTGCCGCTCAAAGGCCTGGCTTCCTGCGACTCTTCGTCAATCGTTGCATTCACAGATCCTGACTTCATTTGGCAGAGGAGAGCAGACAGATCTGACCAAAAGTGAAGCGGCAAGGCAAGGAAGCTTGGGTCAAGGGTATGATGGGTCTAGGGTTTCGGCCAGGAATGATTCCCGAAGGACCACACACTGCAGGAAGTCCGGATCTTCCATATGCCAGATGATGATGGAATGCATCAATCGCAGACACGATCGTGTAGCCTGCTCGTGTGTCCTATCTACAGATGACGACAAAATCAACACGCGACAAAAAAGCGCCACACGCCACCAGCACACCATATACACATCGCTCAGAAGTGTCCAAGCCCCATCATCAATCTGCACTGCTCCAGCAACGGCCACGACAACAGAAAATGAGGACCTGACCACAACACACACACACATTCATACACACGACGCCATGCGGCCACATCGCTACCCGGTCGCTCCCTTTGCATGCTCACCCAGCCTCAGATAGTTGCCCAAGAACCCTCTAAACAGGGCCGTTGCGCCCTCATATCGGCAGATCTTGACAAAGCACCCAATAACCCCACTGTAGTGGTAGTTGACCGCCGTGCTGGCGGCCGTGTCATTCATAATCCTCGACTTAACCATATCAATTGGCGAGGACAGCACCGCCGCAGACAGCCCCGAGATGACGCTGCATGTGATGTGCAACTGCGTGCTCTCCTTGCCGCTCTCGGCCGCTCTGAACAGGGGACCGTCGCGGAGGAGCTCTTTCGAGTACTCGTAAGACACGATTTGGGCGGACGTGACAACGCCAGCACGCAAAGCCGAGGGAAGTGTCCCGCGATACCTGATTGATGGACCAATGGATGACACGACGCACACACACACACCTGAGGGATCGCTTCGCATCGCTCGCTGTGCTCTCACCAACCATACCATCCGTCGATGAGTCCCTCTTCTCTCAGTATCCTCGTGAAGGCCTCACGCGTCGATGTGTATTGGTGGTCGGATGGCGCTGAGGCGATCTGGGCCTGTAGTCGGACCTTGACGATGTCAGTCGGGTTGGCCACTGCCGCGCCAAGACATCCTGCATGGCCACGGCATGGAACACATCCGAATGTGTGTGTCCAGATCAGATCGGTTGTCTTTTGATGTAAGTACCTGTGAGCAGGCTGGCCGTGATCCTGATTCCCAGGCCGTCTGTCGCCTCGCCGCCTGTCGTCTGCTGCCACCCCCGGTGCACCATCTGCTTGACAGTCGGGTAAAGCCCTATCCTAAAGGCGCCATTCAGCACATCCCTCAGTGCAGACGCGTAAAGCCCTGAAGGAAACATCCATCGCACACACCACACGACAGCACGCCACAGCCGGACTGAAAAACGTCAAGACGAGTGAATATGTGCCAACCTGGCGCCACAAGTCCTCTCACAGTGCCCTCCTCGGCCGAAATCTTCCTGACAGCGTCAATGAATCCACTGTATTTGGGCATGCTGGAGACGCCTGAAGTTCCGCCCGTGCCGCCCATCTGCTGCAGCGTGACGTTGAGGCTCTGATGCTGCGTCTGCATCTTGACCTTGAGGACATCGAAGGGGTTGAGGGCCACTGACACGCTGCACATGGCCATGGACGCTGCCGCCATCTCGCGAAAGGTACGGGATGCTGAGTTAGACCATGAATCACTCATCTTCTCTCTACAACTGATGCGAGAATAGGGGAATCTGGCGCCTGCATCCCAGCAGCGGCGGTTTTTTTCTGTAGCTGATTCCGTTGCGGTTCTGTCGTTGCAGTCACGAGGCAGCTTCCGATCTCAAGCACGCTCCGACCATCAGCGGTTTCATGAAGCACCCTGGCATTTTGCGAGCTTTCGTGTTTTCCGTCTGCAGTTTTGTGAACGAAGTGGCTGCAAGACAGATCATGCCAGCGTCGATGGAGCAGCAGCAGGAGCGGCGGCCGCTCATCCCGCACCCTGCACGGAGATCAGCGTCTGCCAGCAGTCAGCGGCAGGGGAGTGCGGCACAGGAGAGCAGCTTCCCGCTATGGCTTGGGGTCTTCCTCATGTTTCTCCTCGGCACCTGCTTCGGATTCCTCCTATTCCCCTTCATGATCTCCATGATCTTCATGAAGGTCAAAGGACAGACAGACAGACAGAGGACAGGCAGATGCTGTGCTGTCGTGTCGGGTATATCATTATTTGACTCCTTTGTCTGCCTCGGGGTGACTGACTGGGTGTGGTGTGACAGGTTGCGAAGAACATAAATGACCCGGGTCAGAGCGGCACTCCCCATCGGTATCTGCCCGCCGCCCCAGGCATCAAGGCCAACACCACCACACAGGGCGTCAAATTCAGTGACATCGCCGGTAACCGGCGACACGGGCATGGAAAGCACTCAACCGCAGAATCTGTGTGTGTCTGCAGGTATTGACGAGGCCAAGGAGGAGCTGCACGAGGTTGTTGAGTTTTTGCGAGATCCCATGAAGTTCGCCAAGCTGGGCGCGAAGCTGCCCAAGGGCGTCCTGCTGGTCGGACCACCGGGCACCGGCAAAACACAGCTGGTCAGCTCAGCTACACACACAAAACACACACCACTATGGCCGTTCTGTCCACTCCACTCGTTCAACAACCAACATGTGCTTGTTGCCATGCCATGGGTGGCCACCCATCCGTGACCGTGCGAACGTCAGGCTCGTGCGGTGGCCAACGAGGCTGGCACGCCCTTCCTGTGGGCGTCGGGGTCTGAGTTTGTGGAGCTGTATGTGGGGCAGGGCGCCAGGAGAGTCAGAGACCTCTTCAACAACGCGCGGTGAGTGCGGTAACGCAACAAACACATTCAACCAGCCCATCCCACGTGGGCGTCCGTGTGTTCGTTCATCGTCAGGTCGAAGGCGCCGTGCATTGTGTTTATCGACGAGATCGACAGCATCGGTTTCCGGCGTGAGGCGGAGATGTCGGGGGGCGGCCGCGAGTACTCACAAACGCTCAACCAGATACTCACCGAAATGGACGGTGAGAGAAAAACACAACAGCGAAGCACAAGCACACACATGATCTGATCTGGATGCGATGCGTGTCTGCCTCTTGTGTCTGTCTTGTGTGTGTAGGGTTCAACTCCACTCGTGGCATAGTGGTGTTGGGTGCAACCAATCGGCTGGACATCCTTGATCCCGCCCTGCTGCGGCCGGGGCGCTTCGACCGACATATATTTGTGCCGCTGCCCGACATCAAGGGCCGCGAACAAATCCTCCAAATATACATGAACCGGGTAAGTAAATGGAATGCATTGCCGGCCAAACAAAGCGTGTGGCCCAGCAACAGCAGCTGTTCCATATTATCCATGCCTTCCTGTCTTTCACCTCATCAGGTGCCGCACAATAGCAGCGAGTTGAACCTGCACACGGTGGCCAAGGCGACTGTGGGTTTCTCTGGGGCCGATTTGGAGAATTTGGTCAACGAGGGAGCGCTGCTGGCGGCGAGGGATCGCAGCGAGGTGGTCAACATGACACACCTTCTCAACGCACGGGACAAGATCTCCATCGGACCACAACGCAAATCAATGGGTGCGTGGCGTCTACGACCCACCAGCCGGCACGGGCACCCCCCTCTTGATCTCATTGTGTTGTGTTATGTTGTGTGTGTGTGTGTGTGTGTGTTGTGTGTGCAGTCATCACGGAGAACCAGAAGCGCTTGACGGCGTACCACGAGGCGGGTCACGCACTGGTGGCCTTCAAGCTGCAGCCACACGCACACCCCATTCACAAGGCAACCATCGTGCCCAGAGGGGGAGCTCTCGGTATGATGCGATGCACAAGACGGCTGCACACTGGATGGACTGGAGAAGGATGCACGTGTCTCGTGTCTGGTGCGTGTGTGACGTGACATCCCATCGGTTGGTTAATCAGGGTACGTGGAGCAGATGCCCGAGGAGGATTTGGTCAACTACCGCAGGTCAGAGTGCGAGGCGAGACTGGCCGTCGCCATGGCCGGCAGAGTGGCAGAGGAGATCGTCTTTGGGAGGGATGCCGTCACCACGGGAGCATCTTCTGACTTCGAAATGGTATGTCCACTCACCCGCCCCCCACCCAGACAGACGTGCATGGCATGTCCATATGGTGTGGCCTCTCTCGCTCCATTTTGCATTCATCAATCAGGCGACAGGCATGGCGATCAAGATGGTGTCGGAGTGGGGCATGAGCGACAAGGTTGGCCCCGTGCACTACGGCATCCGGGGGGTCCGCAGGGCTCATGCCGGCCTCGACCCGCACGACAAAGTGGTCGAGCAGGAAGTCAAGAGACTCGTCGAAGACGCCAAAAAGTCAGTCAGTGTCACGACAAGAGAGAGAGTGGTGACATCCACACCGTGTCACCTCTCTCTCCCTCTGTGTCTCTCTGTGTGCATTTGCAGGACGGCTGAGCGCATTCTGAAGAAAAATCGTCGTCAGCTGGACCGGCTGGCCAACGCTCTGCTGGAGAACGAGACCCTCAGCGGCGAGGAGATATCAGACTTGCTCGACCGACGGAGGGCACGACGGAAGGCACGACTTGAGAAGATGGGAGGGGGCACTCTCTCGCCGTCAGTGGCGGGGTGGAAGCGGCTGTTTGGAGTTGGGAAGCCCGCAAACAAGTCCCCGGCATGACTTGTGTATGTAGCTATTTTATGGTTGGTGTGTGTGGATTGCATTGCTCGTGGCGCTCTCTTTCTCTCTCTCTGTGTGTGTGTGTGTATGTAAACCTCCGGCTGCCCGGCCCCTCGTTGTGGTCAACGAAGGTGCATCCATCGTGTCGACCGTCAGACAGACAGACAGTGCCATTTTTGGGCTGCCTTGTGACGTGACAGACAATTCATTCATGCCATGAATCTTGCTTGAAGATGCCATCAGATTGACCTGAGAAGCAGCCAATGAGTGAGAAGGCATGGAGGGTCGAAATCACGCACGGCACGGACACACCGTGTCTGTCTGTACACACAGGCGATCGGCTCGGCCAGCTCTAGCTCCCTCCCTGTGTTGTGCGTGTGTATGGATATGCACAAACAAGGTCTCTACGGCCTACCTTACCTTACCTGTCCTGTCTATCCACAGCTGGAGCATTATCATTATTATCGAAAGCCGAGTGAGCGACTCCACTCACCCCTCATCTCTCTCTCTCTCTCTCTGTCTGTCGGCACACTCTAAACTACTTTCCATCCAATCACTAGTGAATCGATAACCAGACAGACAGCCATCGATCATTGTCTACAGCTAGGTCACACACAGGGACAGACATGGCCCGATCAGGCAGGCAGGCAGGCAGCATTGTGCCTGCCCATGCGATGCATCCGGGCAAAATTCGCCTCGACGATCACCAAGGCGTGTGTGGAAACAGCACACCGGCAGCGCGCCGGACCCCTCCCATCCGCTCACCCCTCCCCTCCCCCGTGGTGCTAGCTGGTCTGGCCTGGCGGTATGGCGTCAGTGTTGACGTACCCCGCGTCTATGTCCCGTGCAAGGGCCGCGAATCTGCACAGGTGACAGGAGCTGTCGGGGATGTTGAGCTCCAGCAGACGACGGAACGACTCGCTTGGGCCAACCTACATGACACCACCCACAAAGGCAACGTACAGGAAGTACAGTTGACTGACTAAGTGAGCGAGAGGGATGAGGTGACTTGGCTTGGCGTGGCGTGGCGTGGCGGGGCGTGCTGGACCTACCCTCTTCCACTCGAGATACTTGTCGTATTCCTCGTCGTGATCGTTCAGGTACAACAAATACTCGGCCAAGGCCTGCACGGCATGCATGGAGAGAGACATGGAACGCGGTGATCATATCATATCATATCATGGACGATAGGTAGGTAGGGGACTTTTTTCCTGACTGTATGTTTGTTTCACCTTCGGTGACTCAAAGTCATCGGCCACGATGTATGAGTGCGGGTGAGGCGCAAACGTCTCGTAGTTGTTCGCACGGCTCTTGACAATCGGCACCGTACCAGCCACCAGAGCCTGATGCACACACACAGGACCATTGATTTCCACGGTGCACCTCCCCTCTCTCCAGCTGCCTCAACACCACAAACCTAACCTGGCCGAACTTCTCTGTGACGTAGTCGGGTGTGTCAGAGTTTTCGAATGCGACGTTGAACTTGAAGTGCTGTAGCATGACGACCTTCTCGTGCCACCGGTCGTTGTGGATGGGCGTCTCCAACACGTCGTTGGGGTTGGCGTTGCGCAGGCAGTGACCGAACGACTGCACTGAGATGTACCGCGACAGCGACATGACGAAGTCCGTACGGCCGTTCCTGACATGAATGACATCAGGAGCAAACACCACAGACAGACAGACAGACACCAGGTGGGCAATGGCACGGGGTGTGGGTGTGGGTTTGTGTGAGTGAGTGGGTCACTTTGGTGTGCAGTTAGATGCGACGAAGCTGACGAGTCTGTCTTTCCGCTTTGCCCGTGGCGGGAGCATCCAGTCGTAGCCACGGTACCCGAAGTATATCCTCGGCACATCGCTGTCAAGGTGATACGTCGTCTTCAGGTCGAAGCGCCTATCAGATGGACAGACAAACAAACGACACATACGTTGAGTGAGTGTGTTTCCGCGGCCCTCCCTCCCCTCTCACTTGAGGTTGTTTTTGTCCTTGAGTGAGGGGTAGTTGACGTCGCTCTCAAGTGACGTCACCGCATAGTACTGATTGATGAAGGAGTAACACACAGATGCACGCACACAAATGTGACGGACGCCGTCAGCACGTGCAGGCCCGATCAGAGCAAGAGCAGAGTGGCCCACCTGGTGCGGTTTCTTCTTGCCCGACTTTTGGAGGGTTTCGACCTCGTTCTCGAGATGAAGACCAAACACCACTATGTCAGCCTTGCCGTTCTCCGCCCAACTCCTGCGCCATACACACACACACACACACATGGTCCATGGTCCCACTGTGACCCCACATCCCCATTGCGTGTGTCAGTGTCATGTAGATCACTCACCTGTCGTGCGTCAGCCTGCAGGGCACGTCACAGCCAAACTGTCTGTCGCCCCCAAAGCCGCCAATGGAGTGCCCCCACTCGAGAATCCACACGGGGTGCTCCTCGTCCACCGTGTAGAACCGCCACGCGTGTGGACTCGACAGGCCGCCCAGGCTGCCGCCACTCACACTCGGGTGCTGGCTGGCCAGCCCGGGAGGCCGCCTCGGGTCACCACAGTCATACCGATAGTCGAAGTAGTCTGTCCATGTGACTCGCCGTGGCCGCCTCTCGTCGGATGCGTCCATGCGGTTGATCTTGGAGCGGCCGGGGAGGGGCGGCAGTGGCGGCTCGCTCACGTTGGGGGAGTACAGGAGGGGGTAGAAGGGCTGTGGGAGGTCGGGGGGGCAGGGGGGAAGGGAAAGGGATGATGATGATGTGCCGCTGTCCCGCTGACGGGAGAGGGCGGGGATCTCGGTCAGGTCCTTGACACCTCGGAACGACCCATACAGCGGGGCCATGGCGTCGTTCGCCGCCGCACCGTCAGCCGCAGCTGCTGCTGATGTTCCTGCTCGGCTGGTGCCGCCACGTCTTGCTCTGTGGTAGCAGTTGACGACTCGTCGTTTGAGGTCGATTGCAGATCCACTACACGAGTAGCGGTAGACCATCAGTGCTTGGACGAAGCAGAAGACCACGATAGTGGACAGCCACAGCAGCAGCCAGGGGGAGCGGAGTGAGCGGCACGAGGGGCGGTCGGGGATGAGCACTTGCACGGTCTTGAGGCGACTGAATGGCCAACCGAGATCTGAGGCGCTGACGCCCCTCTGGTACATGCTGTTGGTGACGCGGCAAAGTGCTGCGTCACACAGCCCTCATGGCGGTGCCCCTCCGCATTGACTGCCGGTGGCAAGTCGGACTCGGCTCGGCCCTAACCTCCCTCCTTGCCCCTGTGGCAGGCTCCTCCTTCCTTCCCTCAAGCTCGCAAGAGAAGAAATTTACCAAGCGGCGAGGAGCCGCCGCGCAGGCCTCCGCAGAGATGGAGGGCTCTGACGCTTTGTCGTTCAAGTGCAACGCGCCTGGCTGCGGGCGGGAGGTTGGTGAGTGCTGCCTGACGTCATGCTCCCACGTGTTCTGCATGGAGCACGCCGAGCAGTGGTTCTCGAGCAACGAGTCATGCCCCGTGTGCAAGGCCCAGTGTCAGATCAAGCTCGTCGACTTCAGCCGCACAGCCATCAACGACAGAAAACAGGTGGGCGGGGTGGTGGCCGGGAGGGAGGCAGGGATGGAGGCCGGGTGGATGGATGGATGATGGATGGATGGATGGACTGGATGGATGGAAGACCAAATCTGATGCCACGGATGGTCAGCGTGTGTGTGTGTTGTGTGTCTGGTTGGTTTGTGCAGATGAGTTTGATTGGCTTCCTGCCCAACGACTGTCTGGAGGCCGCCATGGGGTCACTCGAGTTCTGGTCGTTCCAGAAGATACAGGAACTTCGGGACGCCAAGAAGGAAGCACAGGGTAGGGTTGGCACCACTTCGGTGTGATATCGTGTGGGTGGTGTTCATGATGGATGGATGGATGGACGTGTGTGGTGTGTGCAGACGAGCGGGCGTCTAAGCGTCGTTTGGAGGCCGAGTGTCGCGCCGCCCTGTCCGAGTATGAGAATAAGATCAACAGCCTGTCCACCGAGAAGGAAAACATGAAGGAGGAGCTCAGAGAAATCGCCAAGGAACGGGTGGGAGGAGGGCGGGGGGCTGAGGGAGCCAACCATCCCGGCCATCCATCCATCCATCCATCCGTTGTGTGTCATTTGCCTTGCTTGGTTCCTTTCTGTTCTGTCTGTGTGTCAGGACCACTACAAGGAGTTGTACAGCAAGAAAAACCGCCAGCACTCCAAGCTCGAGGAGAACTACAGACAGCTCAAGGCGCGCATGATGGGCGGAGGAAGGGGCAACGTCGCCGGCGGCGTGCCAGGCAACGTCGCCGGCGGCGTGCCAGGCAACGCCATCAACCGACCAGCCCTCGGCAACGGACAGGCCAAGGCCAACTAACCCAGAGAAGTCTTCTCACGGTCAGCAGACCACACACACATCACACACCACACATCCCCCCTACACACCAACAACACACGCCATGTCTGCTCTGCTCTGCGTGTGCATCGGTGTGTCCGGGCGTGTGTGTGTGTCAGTCGTCCTGAGGAAGGCACTCACCACCAGGCATCCACCGGTCTGTTCGGTGCGGCTGCCCAGTCTGCCCGCACCCACAGCCCCCCCAACGGCCCTCGTCTGTTTGGCGGTGGTGGTGCGGACGGCGGGCACGGCAACATGAACGGCATGCAGGGGCGATTCGGCGTGGGCGGCAGCAACAGCAACGGCGCCGCCACACCGGGCGTCACCAAGCCATTCGGACTCGGCAGGGGGCCGCGCATGAGAAGGTAAGGCAGGCAGGCCGCTCGGGGGAGACCAACACAGCACAGATGTGAGCTGAAATAGGTTTCTGTTTGTGTGTGTGGTGTGCGTGCGTGCGTGCGTCAGGCCTCCCACGCCTGCTGTTGGTGGCGGTGGGTTTGGGTCTCGGCTGCAGGCCAGCGGGGGCGGCGGCGGGGGCATTGGCCTCTTCAGCCGCGGATAATTAATAAGATGACAAGACACGACACACACTCACAGACAGACAGACACATACAGATACAGACGCGTGAAACACACGAGACACAGACAGACGACAAAGACAGAAGGAATCGCAAGTGAGTCAGACAGACAGACAGACAGACTCATCCATCGGAAAGCCATGCAGAAGGATGCTGGCAGACCAGACGAGGTGGAATGAGTGGGTTCACATCACAAGACCCAACACACATACCAACGGTGACGGCTTCGTGTGTACATGTCTGTCTGTGAGACCGTCAGTTACATGATGACCTTGTCGCATCTTCTCGCAGCAATTTTGCCATTTATGTTATCTTCTGGGTGGCGAAGGCTTTCAGATGCCGGGAAGAACATGTTGCACGCACACACTCACATATATATGAAATGTTCAACACTCGTGCAAATGTCTTGCCGCACCACATGTAGCCTTTTCCTCCTCTGTGGTCTGTCTGCATGGTGTGCCAGGTGTCGTGTGGTGCAGCCACCACCCGGCCCCCGATCACAATACTGACATCAGTTAGTTGCTTGGAATTGGTGTACGTGTGTGTGGTGTGGCTATCTATAGTCTGTCCTCCGCCTGCAGGAAGGCCCACAGCGGCTCGCACACGCCGCACAGCTGCTGGATGCTGCACACACACACACACACACACACACCAATGTCGGCGGACTGTGTTGCCATGCCATCCATCCGTGGTATCTGTCTGGTGTGCACTGCGTGGGTAATACAGTACCCGCTGAAGGTCTCAATCATCGACTCGCCAAACTCGCTGCACTCCATCACGGCATGACACAACACAACACAACACAACACAGCACACGCACTCTGTGGATTTTCCATCCATTTCTCGCTCACTCACCGCTTGGCCAGGTCGACAACACTCAACACTGCGATGTCAGCCTGCAAGACATACATAAATCACATCGCGGGGGTGAACACAGTGGTGCACTGCACTGCACTGCATGGTGTGTGGATCGGATCGTCGTGTCAGTCAGTCCCTAACGAACGTACACATGAGATGGATTGGCCGAGCACATATGGCCCCTTGGTCTGTCGGCGCAACTCGCCGTCAATCATCTGCACTCACACCACACACAGGGGAGGGAGATGGGATCATGGGACGATCTATGAGCATCGCAATGCCATCCGTGTGGCCTGGCCGAGACTGACGGTGAGTGCTGGTATGACGAGTGTCTTCTCGTAGGCCAACTTGTCCTTCTCCTGCGTGTACGAGCTCCTGCACACACACAGCCACGTGTGCATGGTGTGCGGACATTACAGAGGGAGGCACATACATACATACACACTCACGGACGGACGGACGCCATGTCTCCGGACGGACGCCATGTCTCTGTGTCGTGTCTGTTAGTTAGTACCAACCTCTTCTGTGGCAGGGTGGTGACAGCTTGGTTGGCCCCTGACAGACAGAAAGAGACAGAGACAGACAGAGACAGATGCACAGACCCACACAGCTTGCTCGTGTGTGTGAGCTTCGTCATATATAGTGGGTGTGTGTGTGCCATGCGCACATATGTTCTGGAGTAGGGTGATGCAGTAGTCCAGCCACATGTCACTCTCACCTGCAATGAGTACACCACAACCATCACAGCCAAACCACAACACAGCAATCAGCACGTTAGTCTGTTCCGCCCCCCTGTGTGTTACTTGTCATGAGTCCATTGGTGCTCTTGTGTGCGATCCAGCGCATGATGGGCAGCGCACCCACGGCCTCCTGCTGGCCGTCCGTCAGGTAGGGCAGGTTGGGCAGCAGACCGTTGGCAGAGAAGATGCCACCGGCCCGCTTGAAGTCCCTCCCACTGATGTGATACTCTGACACACACACACACACAGAGAGAGAGAGGGGACAGGTCGGTGCAGATATGTGCAGGTTTTTGTGTGTAGATTACCCTCATACGCCAGGCCCTCTGCACGCAGCGCCAAACGCACAATGTCGGCACTCCCACTGCACACACACACACACACACACAGAGAATCAATACTGGTCTCTCCATCCCATCCCCTTTCCCCTCTGTGGCGCACCGTGAGGCCGGGAAATAGAGCAGCTTGTACTTGGGGGCGGTCGGCGACGCCGCGTCCGACACCGCCACGCGGGTCAGTCCATAGGCACGGTCGAGCTCCACGAGCAGATTGCTCTTGGGACGCAGGGAGAGGGTGGGAGGGGCGGGGGCGGGGGGGGGCTGGGCTT